AAATAATACGTATACCATGGGCGTAAAACACAAACCTGCTGGAATATTATTATAATCACGAAACGCGGCGGCGGCGGCGGCATATAATTTTATAACATAACGCGATAACATATTAAAATAAACTATACACTAATAATAATATTCACAGACTAAAAACTTAAATACATAGAATAGCGTTGATAAAAAACCGCTTGTAAAAATACAATAAAAAAAAAAAAAAAACAACTGAATCTTTCGAGTTTATCCAACGTGTGCGTATGTTATTCGGGTAGGCGCGTGCCTCGAAAAATACGTGACGTTGTACGGACGAATTTAAATCTTCCATACAAATGATATACGAAAACTCGCAATACCCGCGCGTCAATATTTGAATTTCGATCACCTAAAATAATACCCATACTATTACGTAATGTGTATCCTATTCTGTTCTATCCAAAGGCGATAGGGGCAGACGGACACGTGCGCCCTTGTCAATGGACTAGAGTTTATATTTGCAGATTTTATATTGATTTACTGAAAATATAAATAATTTGCCCGCCAACTATCGAAAAATGTCTGGATCCGCCGCCGATTCTATTGCGTCTACCTCGTTGCTGCGCGGTGTGCATGCGTGTGTGTGTTTTTTTTTTTTTTTCGATCCCCAGCACCTCCCCGGTTATCTGTGTCGCGAACGTCGCCTATTTCGATTGCGAACGCATCGCGGGGCTCGTAAAAAAAAAAAAAATAATAATATAAACGCAACAATATGGCGTACATGATATTATGAGGGTACATTATAATAATACGACGGGCGATTGGTAGTTAATAGCATCGCCGTGACAGTATAGGGAAATATCGTTCCCCTAATAAATGTGTATTATATTAATACACAGTTCCGGCCCTCACCCCTACCCCCCCGAGACCGCGCGCGCGAAGGGTGTTCGTAATCTCCCAGCGCGGCGGTCTTTTGAGCCGGTAAACGGATTTGCAGGCGATTAAAAATTATTATAATTTTTTTACTAAACCGTTTATTTCAACCGCGTTTCGCGACGATAGTATTATTGCAGAAAAAAAAACAAAAAAAAAAAACACCGCGGACTAGCTGTATTGCTGCACGAATTTATTAATATCCGAATCCGTCCGTCGATTCACGAATGCGATTACTTTTCGATTTACCGAACAAATCCTTAGAATAATCCCTGGTATATAGTGATTTGAGAATACAAAGAATATTCTCTCAAGAGGTTGTTTTTTTTTTTTTTTTTAATAACCCAAAGAAAGTGATTATAACACAATCGTTCCGTTAAAAAATCCGGGTTGTTATTTGTTATAATTTCAATATACGATTTATTAGTTATTATAATTGATATATAGTTTGTTTGCAAAGAATACCTACTGAAACATAATGAAGAATGTTATCGATTAAAAGTTACCGATAATGTACATTTTGCCAATAAAATATGCATAAATCACGAATGCGATCTTATTTTCAATTCAAACGATACTGCAGTATTGTATTTTTCACAAGTTATCCGTTATACTAAAAAAAAACGTGTTATATTCAAACTTGCGGATAGTATATCGTCAATTAGTACCGTAATAAAGTTATCAACCAAGATAACTGATAAACGATAACGGTTATTTCTTTCCGATTTAGAACTCAACGAGCTATGACTTACGTTTATGAGTTGCATGACTTATGAGTTTACGACTCGGTATAATAGAAATAGTACAATGTGTAAAGCTATATACGTAGCATATGCAATGACGAGCGCCTAAATTGTTGTCCTTTTTGTGGTGGTATACATTTTGGAATAAAAATTAACGAAAGTTACCGAATATTAACCGTTTTCTATGGATATTGCTGCAAGAAATTATCACTGTAATATCTAAAAACACTATACGAAACAGTAAGTACACGGAATCTTGTAACTCGCGGCATATGTTACGCATGCATAGGTTTTCTAGTAGGTTAATCTAACAATAACGAACGAAATCTTTGCCGAAAATTATGCCGATTGTGTATATTTTTATATCTTTATACAATTGCAGGATATTATAAAATTTATCTTCGTACGACACCGATATTTAATATAATAACGAGGTGTCGTATTGTACGTATTGTACGTTTCGTATTTGTCAACAATCTACTGTATACATATTATTATTGTGTGTGTGTAATAGTAAGGAGTGCGCGGAAAAAAGAATAAGAAGACGAAAAAAAAAAAGAAAAGGAAGAAAAATCAGTAATCCGATTTCTCGACGATCGCGACGACGACGACGACGACGGTGTTTTATATAGTAAAATATGTGTAAAATGTGATGGCCGTCGTCGTCGCGGACGTAATTAATGGATATTAGATTTCATCGCCGCTGGATCTTGTGTGTGTGTGTGTGTGTGTGTGAGAGAGAGTGAGTGGTTGTATGTTGTACTTTTTATTATAATGTACCCGCGAGGAGCGCACTGCCCCGTCAACGACCATAATAATATATCAAAACGTAGTTGTAATTCCGTGAATGGGGGAAAAAGCAAAAAAAATGTCCCTCGGCTATTATACCGTGTTATGAGTATCGCTCGGAGGACGCGTCTTGTACAATATGTACGGTGTATAGAGTGCGGAATCCGAAGTCGCGACGCGATCCTTTTATATTTCACCTCCCCCTCCCCACTCCCGTCCGTCCCCATACCGTACGGTATACGTGTGATAATACGACGAACGATACGATCGTCACTCTCGCGCCATGCACCTCCTATTGTGTATATACGTCGCACGGGTATTTATAGAGCCCGGATTTTATAAACACCTTAAAAGGAAACCGTCGAAAAACGATCTGAAAATATTTTCGAAAACAAAAAAAAAAAAAAAAACGAGTCCTGTTAATGTACTTGTAAAGTATTGTTTTCAAATGTATCGTTTTATCGGGTAATAATTTTTAATTTTTATTGCATAACAAACGAAAAATTGAAATTTGAAAAATCCGATGTGACGCGATTACAATTGATACAGCGGCTGATCACACCACAAGCGTACCATTCGTTCTAAACATAGGCACTTAAACGAGTCAAACGCTCCGCGGTCAAAGACAAGAGATGAAAACGCTACCGTAATCGTGGAACGATCGACAATCGAAAATATATGGGTTGCATCTAGGTGGTTTTGCCACTGGACCAGAGGTCGTCAGACAACCTAACTGTATCAATGCGACCAGTTAATAATATTGTGCGGATCTGAAACTCGATTATTTATAACTTGGAAGTTTTGAAATCATCTTGTTTTTTTTAACCAGAAATAATATCCAGAATATTGATTAATCACGTTACGGATTATCTGGTTCGTCTCGTTATTGAACGGCAGGTACGAAAATAATTTTCCGGACGACATAATTGTTAACCGCGGAGAAGCCGGTTGTACGGGCAGTGCTACTGGAACAGAACCGAGGGAACCCGATCTGAGGGATACGATTGGGAGTTGGAATGAGAAAAGAACGCGGAAACTTCATCGTAATCGGAGGTGCATTAAACCGGACGATTCCGACGACCGTCGCACGATGGAGTACTGCAGGGCCGGCTGTGAGACGGCGCTATAATAGACGGTTCCAGATGAGTACCTACAGGCCAAATTAATCCGGACAATAATATATGAATCCGTTTTGTTTTTCACGCTCGAATTCCGCCTTTTAACGCATTCCGAGAGAAGCGACGAACGTCATTGGTATGCAGTTAACCGTAATATTATGCGTGCAATGTTTTTTTTTTTCTTTTCTCGTCTGTAAACAACTTTTTTACCGGCGATTTCGCTCCGGTTTTCAAGTACATCGATTCAAGTGCCCGGGAGAAAACCAGACTGGGGAGACACTAGAGGCGGGTCGTTTTCGCGATTTTTTCCGGGGGGTTTTCGCGGCGAACGCATTGGAAACGAGTACGGGAAAACGCGCGCAACGAATAATTTCCGGACCGCAAACATTACGGGCCGCCTCTGAAAACGCGCAGCCGCGTACAACCGGATTCCGACTCAGAATCGTTGTCCGTCGGCCGTGAAATCGATCGTCGCGGATACGCGCATTGAATTCCCGTGCGTCCTGGTCGCCCGCACCATCCCGACTTCTCGCCTGCTGCAACCGGCGGCGGCCCGCCCGCCGTGGCGAACAACCCAAGTGTCCGGTCCCGTGTTTTCGTCGGCGCAACAAAACGCAATACAATACGATCGCGTTTCGCGCGCGCTGCTATCGAAACGAAAAATTACCGTCGAGTGTCCGTCGCGTCACATACGGCGCGCAACACGTGCGATTTTTCGGCCTATCCGACCGACGGCGGCGTGCTGTGCGGGAGACGGTGCCGGGTTTTTATATCGAACGCGCGCCCGCGTACCAGTATGACTATAATAATAATAATAATAGCGATAGTAATAATAATGACGATATTAATAATAATAACGATGACGATAATAATAATAATAACGTATATTTATTGTCCCGCGCTACACAGCATCCGAGAACGTCGCGACCCCGGAGCGAGCGCGCCGCGGAGGGACCCCGAAAAGACCCGGCCTGGAACACGTGTGCCGCCGCCGCCGAACGCGTCGTACCCGTCGTCGCCACGTTTCCGACAAATGTGCGCGGAGTGTATATTCACGGGGAGAGGACGAGACATAGAAAAAAAAAAAAAAACAAAACAAAAAAAAGAGATGTACAAATTATTGTACCGTTTCTCGCCGCTGTGTCGATCCAATATTACAACACCGCGGCGACGACGACGGAAAAAACGAAAACGAAATACGAACGCGATAGTGCTGCGCAATATACGTTCTTCTCTTTCCGTACTAAAGGCCCGTGGCCGTTGAAAATCTGCGGTTCTCCGTTCTTCTCTGCGGTTTTGCGTCCTGCGATCTTTTCGCGCGCACTCTGTGTCACTATTATGTACAGCCGGCGGCCAGTGCTGTCGTTTCTAATTGTACTACGTCAGTATCAGAATATAATTCGTATAATATAAAACACAAAAACCGTAAACGTACACGCGCGTCTTTTTTCATTTAAAACGAAACCTATCCGAACCGTCGCCATACGGAGACGGTCATTTCGGTACCCGAATTGCAATTATTCAACTGACGCTAATTATTACCGTAATACTGGTAGCGATCCGATTTCAACGATATCTGCAGGACAGATTGAATTATAAATTACTTACGTGTATACACATTATAAATTGAAAATGTATCGATTGTTTATTGTGTACAATACGACGCAATACTTCCACATTCAATATCACCTTTTTGCGTGAATGCGTCATCGCCCTCGAAGGATGCGACCGCACGTGCTGTGTCCGTTTTACACATCACGTACGATGTAGGAAACGTCAGCCGGGACTAATTTGTACTGCAAGTTGTAATATGATATGCCTAGTGAATGTATGCCTAGTAAATCCCAAATAGAGCATTTCGCGTATTGTTTTCCCCCGAGGTTATGGGTTTCACTCGACTAGCTTCATGTCATCCGCAGTACCGCGCAATGCAGCCGTACGCCCGTGTCCGAACGATTTGTTCAGGGCGCTGTCTCGTCCAACCAAACGCAACCTAACCTGACCACTGCGAATCACGACAGACAGACAAACAGTGTACACGCAATTGTGCTCGACGTGATTAACGCGTTGTCGCGGGCGGCGGCGTCACAAACTTTAAATAATATAAAAGCAAATCGTTTTTTCGCAACCGCCTTCGGTCCGGTGATTCGTTCAACGCCAATAGCCGTTTTGAGAGCCGCATACGCGTTTTGGTAACGCGTCCCTCCTAACCGTTTGAATTTCACGAAAAAACCATCCGCTCACCCTACGTAAAATACAGTAGTGGCCGCTTCCGAAAACAGCCACGCCGCCGGTCGTGCGACGTTATCCGATTTTCACTCTTCCGGTACAAGTATATTGCGTATACGCCGACAAATTAAAAAGATACGGACATGCTTCGCGCGATTGGCGGGCCACTGTTATAGGTGAAAAGTTCGCAGGGTAGGACATAGAGAGGAATTTAATGTATACCGTCTGCACGCGAATAATAATCTTTGCTAACGAAAAACGATTCTGAGCGGAGTTCGGATGTACTGCGTGTTTTAAAAGGCCGTAGTATTAACGATTTTCAAAATAATACATTTCCCATTTTTGCTACGTTTTTCTCCATTTAGGGTTTTTTTCGGAAAAAGTGCTATACTCGAACCCGACAAAGTTGCCGGTAGAAAAGTTGCCCGCAGTAAAAATAATAAATACCATTGTAAACAAACCAATATATTCCTCGCTCCGTTCAGAATCTAAAATACTACCGGACCGGATCCGAAAACGACAAAACGCCCAGACTCCGGAGTATGCGCGATAAATATATCTTATCATCGCGTTTCGTTCGAATCTTTTTCGAAATCGCTATCCGATTTCACGATAATTTTCACCGAGACAGAGAAAATCGCCGAGAGACTTTTCCTGCCAACTTTCTCGTGGTGTCTCTTGGACAACACAATGGAGATGGGGAACGGGGTCGGAACATCCGAAGAACAATCGAATGCGGGAGTGCCGGGGAAACGCGCCTTACATTGTCATAAACATTTGTCATACTACCGATGTACGGAAATGAGAGAATCGACTCGTGCATTAAGTCATACGTCCCCGGGAATCGACACCGGTGCCAAACGGGAAACGCGTGCCCGCGCGTACTGTTTGTACATGGACGGACTTAACGAGACGTGTACCGAAGATTATCGGCTCTTATATTTAGTGCATTTTACAACCGTATATTATAATATTATTACGTATACGCGCTGGTGGAAGCGTATAGTGAATTCTCAAGAGTCAAAAAAAAAAAAATAATAATAATAATAATGAAATACCTAAAGGCGTACACCTATTATTATTATTATTATTATTATACTCGTATATATTATTATAATATACATACGCGTTAATTTGTTTTTTTTTTTTTTATTATTATTGTAACGCAGTCGCGCGCGCGCGCCCGATAAATGTTCAGGTATAAAAACGTATACACGCGTATGTATAAAAAACAACACGACGGACTATATTATGAGATCGTGTACGAGATCCGAGATACATATTATATTTTTTATACACATTTAAGAATGTGTGTGCCTTAGTGTGTGTGTGTGTGTGTGTGTGTGTGTGTGTGTGTGCGCGCGCGCGATGTCTGCTGCAGCTAGGCCAGCGTACAACAATATTACGTGTGTTTGTCCTCGTTTATATTATATTTTTTATTATTTTTTAGATATCCATCTATGCGTATATATGTGTACCTATATCTTATACGTATACTTCGCGTGCAGTCGTCTATTATTTGTCCCGGGTGTCGTATCGTCACCGACGTCGTCCGTTTTTTTATTTTTTTTTTGATTATTCGAATTATTATTATTTACGTCCGTCGTGTCCTATATTATATAAGACGCCTGGTCAGTGGCGCGTTTAAAGGAGGAATCTGGTGGAAGGGGGGGGGGGGTTGAGGCTGGGTATGGGTGGCGAGGAGACGTTTTATTATCGTTATCTATTATTTGTATAAACGATTTTTTTATTTTTTTCTTAATTCAAATTACTGTACGTATATCACTCGTATAATCGGACGAAACCGAAAACTTGTTGGTACCTATTATACATATTTTATATGTATACTAATCGTATGAGACGTGGAATTCACCGGTAAACGATAATTTTTTGGTACGCTTATTATCGGAAACAAACATGTAAACGTACAACACACGCGTGTATCAACACGAATAAATAACAAACAATGAATAAAAAAACAGCTGATACTGGTGACGGGAGCGGCCGCTGTTGCAGGTGAAAAGTTGGGAAGGTAGGATACATAAAGTTATTTCATTTATATATGTAAGCAACGATAAACAATTGCTTGGCGAAAGTCGATTCCGAGCGCAGTTCGGTAATACATAATTTGAAGTGCCGTAATTTTTTTTTTACGATTTTCGTTTAAATTTAATTTCAAAACGTTTATTAAAAATAAAAGGTCGTCCGATGATTTTGAAAATTTTTACTACGTCTAGGTAAGCCCAATATATGTGTTATTACCAATTTTCAAGCTTCTACGTGTATTTATAACCAAATTACAGCAAAAAACTCCCAAAAATTAAAATTCCTTAATTCCTTAAAAGTTTAAACGTTTTGACGGTGATACCGTAAGAAAGTAAATCAAAAAGGGAAAATAAAAAGTATTTTGTGATTTTTCGAATAAACCATTATTTCTGGTAGAAAACGTCGTCCGTGTTTTTATAAAATAATGAAATCGTGCAATTTTACGTTTTCCTACGTTTTATCCCAATTGAATGCTTTTATTTAAAAAAAAAATTAAGCCGAAAATCAAAAAAATTACCTCTTTAAAGTATAATCTGGTCAATTTGAACTTTCAGAAAAGTGACTAGACGTAAAATCCGGAGCGAGTTTACTAGGGAAAAACGTGTCCACAGGCTGGATCAAAGAAGAAATAAACGGCATTGCAAAACCTGTAGTAGCTCCATCGCTACGCTCGAAATCTAAAAGAACGACGACGTACCCATACCGTCGTCGGCCGTCGCGCGTACATGAATTCTTTTTAGCGCTATTAAAGTCCTAAGCGTAGACACAACTAGGGGGCGGGGTGCTAGGGGGTCCTTAGCAAACCCCAAATTTGTAATGAACAATGTTGAAATAGTTACGATAAATTTGTGTTCGCAAAATTGTAAACGAAATGCGTAGACTAGTCGACTGTTGCATAAGAGCCGTGTAAAGCGGATTGGTGGAGCACAGCTCCCACGGGTCTTTGACACGGGCCCGGGTTCCGCACCTCCAAAGTTGGCGGTCCAGTTGCGCGTATATGGTCCCGAGATCCCGGACTATCGGACATTTACAATACTGCAGCACATTTATAGCGCGGAATCAAATCACGGTTTTGACTTTTCGTACACTGACGCGTGAAATACCAGTTCGACGAACCGGCAGTTTTGCGAGGCGTCGTCGCGCGTCGTGTGAACCCGGCCCGACGCGGACGCCGAGAGGTTGCGGCCGTCAGTCGCGCGCACACGGAGTAGCGGGAGCTCAGGGTTTCAATTCTCCTTTGCCGGCGTTAACGACTCCGGCCTGTAAATTATACGCATCGCGGTCTCGTCATCGGTCGGCAAAACCTATCGGTTTGTCGAACGGGATCCGGATTTCTGTCGGGCCGTCCCTGTCATTGGCGGGCCCGGGACGAGTTTGGCGAGCAGGCCGAACCCGCGGTCCGTTCGAAATCCTCTCTACGAGGTGGCCGGCCGTAACGTCCCGCGTGCAGCCCGCCGACCGCGGTCCCGTGTCGAGACGAAGCCCAGGAAGACCACCCCCCGCCCCTCTTCCCCGTAATGCACACGCCCGCTACGGTTCGTTCGCGGATCGTTATTATTATATTGTCGTTTGCGCGGTACGTCCGTTTACCCCGGCCGAATAATCTGCAGCTCCCGGGCCGATCGTCATATTGTGTATATAAAAAAACAAAAAAAAACAAAACAAAAAACGCGGCCGCGACGGTTCGAGCGCACCGCCGCCGCCGCCGCGGTGTAGAAGTCGAGCCAAAACGACGTCGGGTTCATGTTACTGGCGAGTTGCCCGGCCGAGCCGAACCCTCGTGTTCCCGAAATAACGGCCAGCTCCTTTTTATCGCGAGCGGCTCGCTGCGGCGGCGTGTACCTATGTATTTGTGCACGCGTATATCGCGCGCGAGAGCCGCGCGTGTCCATCCGTCCGGCCGCCCCGGGCAATTAAAATCCCGGCCGACGAAAAAAACGATCGTTACGTTCGACACGCTGGGTTTCGTTTGTTCCCGCCGTTCGCTCCGGGAAATCGCAGCGCGATCCTAGGTCCGCCCGATACGCAGGCGTATTTCACCAGTCTGAGCGGAGCCCGGCGTTTTCACGCGCGAACGGCCGTAAAAACGCGTGTACGGTTTCGGAATAATCCACGCGTCCCGCGCGTTTGCCCGTTTTTTCCGGCACTTTTTCCCGTCGGCCGCGAATACAAGCTGGGTAACGAACCGTCCCAATAGCGCCGGTCCGGTCGGATTTCCATTTGGAAAAACCGTCGCGCCTGTACATCCGAGCGAAATGTATAGCGGAAAAGTCGTCCGAAACAAACCGCCGTGAAACCAACGCATTCATCTCGGGATTCAAAATGCGTATGTTTTACTCGCGTATCCTATTATAAGTACGCGGGAGAGACGCGGGACCGGTTTTTGCCGGTTTACCGCGGTCACTCGTTCGATTTCCGCCTGTCCTCCGGCGGCCGAGCGTCGGAAACGCCGCGATCCGAACGCGGATTTCGTTTTCCACTCGACCGAATCGGAAAACAGTACGCGCGCGAAGACGGCGCGATTTTCACGGTCTTATCAAACGGGCCGCCGCGCTAGTAGACGGGAAACGTTTCAAACGGACGAAGCGCGTTGCACAATCGAAAAATGTCTCGGAACGGAGTATCGTAGTACGGAGTACCACGACCGTGGTTTTTCCCCCTTCGCCGACGACGGTAACCGACAGCGAATCGGCCGAAAATAAAACCGCGAAAAATCCGCAAATTTCGAGATTATACGTAACATTGTATTGCAGCGCGAATGATTTTAGAATATTTCTATTGGCCGAAAACCTGTGATTTGTGGTTGTTTTTTTTCGACACTATCCCGTACAGAAGGGAAAAAAAAACAATTCATTTTAAATAAATTATTCGACCGGAGTCGCGTACGATAAACAGTAACAATAATAACACGGTATATAATAAAACGCGCTAACCCGATTTCGACCATCCGTTTTTTTTTTTTTTTTTTTTTTTTATTATCGCGTATAATAATTAGATTCTATGTGTTTACCATATGCACGTTATGTTTTACGACCAGCTACACACTGCGGCGCTGTATATGGAATTCGACTAGAGAGAGAGAGAGAGAGAGAGAGAGAGAGAGAGTGAGAGAAACGAAAAGTACGCGTAATAAGTTCGATTTTCGTTTTGTTTAACGTTAAGCAAAACGTACGATAATACAATTTTTCAACCGTTTCCGATCGGTCGAAAAACCGCGAGTATTAAAATGCCCGAAAATAGCTCGAAAGGCGCCGAAATTTCCCGGCAATTATACCGCGACTAGAAAACGCAAACTGTCGTGTTCTAAGTGTTCTGTGCAAAGAATGTCCGGTCTCTACGACTACTTCTAACCGAATATCCCGACGAGAAAACAAAGTCGAAACCGTTATTGCCGTACGTTTTTCCGATTATTGAGAAAACTACAAGTGAAAAAAATCGGAAAACTATTTGCCCCGTGCGCTGACTAGACGAAATTTTCTCTCGGAAAAGACTTGAAAATCGAAACAACATTTCCGGTAAGGAAAATCGAACGATGAAAACGTAATTGAAAAGTTTAAAGGTCGCAGGCGGTTACGAGGGGCGCGTTAACAGCGGGAGACGCAACGGGGGAATTTGGTCCGGGACGCCAAGGGATTTAAAACTCGTGACAAAATCAACGACATCACTACACACGTCCGCAGTTGTATTAGTCGTTTTATTTCCAAACGTTTCAGCGAATAGCGTCCGGTAATTAAACAATAGCGCTCATTTACCGCAGTATATGTGTACCCGGGAAGAAATTCGGGTCTACGGAAGAATCCCGTCCGCAGACGGGGGTGAACCGTCGAAATTTCAATTGGAATTTAAAACAATTGTAAAAAAAAAATAACGAATCCGGGCCGGATAATCCACTCTGGAGTCCTCAACTTGGGAGGGGGGGGGGCGCTGGAGATCGTATCGTCGCCGTCCGGTGTTCATAAATCGGGGTAAGAAAACAAAAAGTGTTAAAAGAACAAACGAAACGCGCGTGTTACCGCGAAGTACGGGCCGCTCCTCATCGGTACGAGTGCGGTTTATGGGATTTTCGTCAAAAACATTATCGCGCGTGCCGGGCGCGTTACAACGTACGAGACGGCGCGTTTTTTTTATTTTTCCTATACGCTCCGCTGTTTTTCAAGCGTGTCATTGAAAAACGAAAAACACGCGCGCGCCGTTCTTTCCCGTGCTGATAACGATAATAATTTTTCGCGCACGCACTCCGCGCGCCCGGACTCCGGGTTCTCGGGTCGCGGGGCTCGGTCGAAGACTCCGCCGGCACCGGCACTCGGGCGAGTAGTCGCGCGCGCGGCAGTCCGAAAATAGTTTCCGATATTGCCGCGCACGCACGCACGCGCCGCGATACGTGTGTACACCGCTGTTGTCGTTACGCGCGTTTTATTATAATAATAACGCGCGAGCGTGTTTTTTTTTTATTTTTTTTTCTCAATTTCGTTCTGTCCGTTCCGCAAACCGTAATGCGCGCGCCGCCACGGCTCGACAACAATGCACGCGGGCGGTGTGCGCGTCCAACCGGCCGCGCGACGGCGTCGCCGAGTGTCCCGGACCGCGCGCAACGGGGTAGACGAATAGCGTCGCGCCGTCCCCGGCGCAGGGAGCGCCGCCGGACGTTTCTCCCCTACCGTCCCGCCCCGCGACGCCGTACCCGTTATCTGCGCGCATCGTCTCGCGGCGCAGCGTACGGTCGGCGGCGGATTTACGCGGGGTGGCCGGGTGTTGGGGGGGGGTTGAGGGTTGATGATAAAGACCGGGGGACCGCCCCGCCTACCCGGACACCGATTGTGTAAAAATCCGAAAAAAATCGTTCGCCGAAAAAGAGGCGTTTACTACGATACAGGACGGTACATATAGTCTGTCGCTATCGCTATTACGTGCGACGATTTTTCAGGATCCCGCCCAGAAAAACGTTGAAAATCCGCTACTGGCTCTGTGCCTGTACCGCGATGCGCGTTTAGTTACTTTGCGATTTCGTTCGCTCAAACGATCGCGGCACGCCCGTCTACACTACGTGATACGATTAACGATTGGTTTCGGCTATAAACAATACGCGTCCGCGTCGATTTTCAGTCCGGCCGGTGTAATAGAAAAAATAAAACGACAAAAAAAAAAAAAATGCGCTGAAAGCTGTTGCGGCGTAATGTTATACTGTATAATCCTAATCGATGATAAAAAAAATAAAAAAAAACAAAACACGAAACGGTTTATACCGTTGTCTACAAACAGGAGTGTCGTTTAACCCGTCGCGGGAGCTTACGCGCTACTTTGTATCGCGATTTATTAAGTGAACACGAACTTTCAACAAACAAACGTGTTGTAATTACGATCGCATTTTCACGATTCGTACTTTGTTTGTAACTACATCCGTGCGAACCGGCGGCGCGCCCAGTAATCGTCAATGAAGGGAAAGCCGCGAGGGGGGGAGGCGGGAAGGGAGGTATCGAGTTAAAAAAAAAAAAAATGTAAATGTATATTCATATTTTGTAAAACACGCAATAATTACGTAGCCCGATTGTCGGCGGCACTTTATTATTGAATAAGTACGGTGCGAAACAAATGTGAGATGGTTATTATTGTTGTAGCGAAATCGTTCAACGCCGCGATTAGTTTCCGTATGACGTGTGCTGTACGGCAGAATTTTTATTACGGAAAGTAGCGGAACGCGTTAAAAAAAAAAATACTATTGTGACGAATTATAAATTATAACCGAAATCGAATTGAAACAATGTAACGACTGCCCGAAAATCGCGGCGTAAAAAAATCAAGAAAATTGGCACGATCGAACGGACTAAAACGAGACGGGCGTGTTTATACGGTGTCGAAAAAACAAACAAACTCGACACGAAAAAATCGAAAACGCTAAACGGCAAAGTGAAACACCGTGTTCGCGTTTTCGCTGCCTGCAGGCGCATTGGTCGACGCGCGGCTATTGCGTTATAAAATCGAATCTACTCACTCTGTTCGCCGGTAACCAAACATAACTAACCGTTTCGTAATAAACCTCCCCACCCCCGGCCCGCCCGCCCGCCCCGAACGCGGGAACCTATACCTACGGGATCGCACATTATCGTAGGCTATTGTTTACACGCACGTGTCACAGTCAAAACCCGAAATCCGTCAAAACCGATTTAGACCGGTGACAACCAGCGCCGTGCGCCGTCAAAACTGGATTCAACTCATTTCACGTTTTTTTTTAGTGAGAACTTGGGGTCGTGCACGAAATATATTGGCGAAAACCAGAGCGATCCGGCGAAAACCCGTCGGGTTTAATCGGTCGAAGTTACCGCGTCGGCAAGCGATCCGACGGACGGACGGCCGGTTAACGTTATCCCGATTGATTTGACGGCCGGCCAGTCGGATTTACGGAACGGTATTTATAGATCGCGGGCGATCGCGCGCGTTTGAGACGGTGCAGGTCCGGCACGCGCGCGTTCCAGTAAAAAAAAAAACTGGTCTCGGCCGACTCATTCCGATCCGCAGGTGTTTCTGGTATTCGCCAGTTACGACCGGAACGGACCAAAGGGACACAGCGGAAACTGGCGTTCGCGGATTCCGCCGTCTTGACCGTAACGCGCGCACGGGCCGGGGGCGGCCGACCGGCCCGATCGCGTTAGAATTCGCTTATAGGCCGCGCGCACGGAAACTAACCGCGGCGGTCGAATAACGTTTGATATCGTCGACGAATTTCCATCCGCGTAATTTGTGTCTGTTATTCTGACTTCCCGTGTCGAATATTCATCGTTCGTGCAGTCGTTGTTCTACTACGCCACGGTTCAGTAATCCGGTTTCGCCGTGCCAATTCGATTTCTGCCGCGTTCAGTTTATAGCAACGCGTTTAAAACAACGTTTAAGTATGAGCGCTTCACGCACACGCGAAACCGAAGAGAAAACAAATTTTTTTTACGGTAGTCGATCTCCGAAGTTGAAGTGTTTTAATTTTAGTAGGTCTTTGCCGAAAAAAAGTTCGGTCGTCCCTGATATACACCGTTAAAAAAATAACTACAGCATATTCGAAAAGTTTTCCACGAAAAGTTCTAAAGGTTAAAAAAAAAAAAAAAACGAAACTAACGCCGCCTGTTGTAGACAAAATTTACGCACGCGCGGAAATTTCGAAAATTCAATGTCGCTCGAATCTTGGACGTTTACGGGATGTTTTCATCTTTAACACGAAATAAATCCAATTTACGTACTACTGAATAACACCGCGACGTTCGTTTTATACCAAACGGTGTTTAAAGTATATTTTTCGACTTTGACCGCCTCTAACCGCGGTCGGATCGAGCCCGGACGCTGGGCCCTGAAATATCAACGGCGCCTTTACATCCTCGGAACGAATTCATAACATTTTAGGCCGATATTTATTGAACGTTTGTAAATCCGAATTGTACATGTGTACATTGTACAAATGTTTGTACAATCCGTTTTATTATCATTTGACCGGATAACAATGTTTTATAGAATATTCGTATTTTCGCGTTTAAATAAATACTTTTTTAAACAGATTATTTCGCGTACAATCGTTTTTTTTTTGTATCATTCTTTTGTTTTTTTTTTTATTCGTCGAGCTCTTAATCCGATCGAAACGTTTACGTACATATACAGGGTGATCAATGTAACATAAGAAACTCATTATCTCGGAAAATATTAATTTTTTTCGAAATTCGTTTAAAAGAACATTTTAGAAACAATTAACATATTCTAAAAATTAAACATTTACGTAATTTTTTGTCACCCTAATTTTTAAGACTACCTCTACTTTTAATTTTCAAATGGCAATAGTATAAATGTTAAATTTTTAACAGAACAGCTCGTTTGTAAAATTGTCTGTAAAACGAAATTCGAAAAAAGTTATTAATTTCCGAGATAAATGAGCGTTTTATGATAGATTGATCATCCTGTATATAGCTGGTTACGGTGGTTAGTGACAAAAAGAGGGAAAAAAGTTAATTGTTTTTGATTTTTCACGCTTCCGTATTTTCGGTAATCATAAAAGACTAGTTCGCGTTAAATTTTGACGATTTTCGATTTTTATTAAAAAAAAAAAAAAATAAATAAATACATAAATATCGCGCTCGGCGTAAAAATGTAAAAACGCGATGTCTGTGAAAAATATTTGTACAATATTGTAGTCGCTGGATACACCGAGCGAAAAAAAACAACATACATTATAATTCGAAGCATATATTGTACAGAAACACGAAGGGTATTGTTTCGTGAAAGCTGTTCGATAAAAACCGTTTCGGCGCAGGTGTTCGCCGCCGCCGCCGGTAAAATCGTATGGGAGCTCGTCCGAATCGACCCGGCCGTACGAGGACCCGGGTACCGCGCGCGGCTATACCGTCGCCGTCGCCGCCGCCGCCGCCGCCGATACATTGTTTGCTACCCCATTAAAGTGACGGCCGCGGTAAATAACGAAACGGGGCCGCGGCGCGGACGGCGCGACGGTAAGGGGCGGCGGCGGGGAGGTACGGGGTGGGCGGGGGGACGGGGGCGAGGGGAAACGGGCGTACGGTTTGATCCGGGCGGTCTCGCGTAATGGTTACGAAACGACGTGTGCGTGTGTGCGTGCGCGCGTATAGGAGCGGTAACGTACACGGACGCGCGTGTGTACACATCCGAAAACAAACACCGTGCCCCCGCCGCCGCCGAACGGGTCGTCGTCGCGAAACGTTTCTCGGTGCAATAACGAAACGCGGTTATAACCTATATACCCGTGTACAACCTAACGCGAAACGCGAGCGTTTCACCGTCCCCGTACACTCGTCGCGGTAGACCGGCCCCCTCGGATGTACGCTGATAACGTGGCGTACCGCGGTCGTACAACACCGCGATTCGCGGCGCGGACCCGGTCGGGTTAGGTTTCAGTAAAAATTATCGGGAAAAAACCAAAAAAAAAAAAATCGAAAAAATTCCTGAACCCCGCCCGGCGAGACACGCGACCGGGGCCTTTTGACGGCCGTGCGCCCGCCGGATTCGGTGGCGTCAGCCGCTTCGTGAGACGACCTTGTCGGGTTCATCGCTGCGGTACTCCCGATATTGTCCGACGGTTAAAACGTCGAACGACTCGTGGCCGCACTTAACCGATTCGACAGGGACGAAACAGGGCGGAAACGGATGGGCGCGCGATTTCTCTTTCTTTCGCCGATTTCCCGTTTCTGGAAGGATCGAGCCCGGTAATTTCGTCAACGAGGGAGAAATAATAAGACTGACGAAGTACTCTTCTCAGAAACGTTTTTCGATAACAACGGTTAATATCGTCGCGTACGGATGTAAATGAAAACACTCTGCATCCATCCTCCCTTGCACGCAACTTTCCTTCTAAAACAGCGGCACATCCGTCAGAAGTGTCTGCGTTTTAAAACAATTTTCGTACACAACCGATGTACATAACAGACGGTACCTACCCAGTACCCCACGACAGACATTACCGCAACGATACGTACAAAAATACGTTTTTTACGATTTCCCCCCCCCTCCGCCGCCCACCCCGGCGTAACAATATCGTTATGCTATGATTACGTACGCACAGGCTAGTGTAAGAAACGTTGTACATTTTATATTCGTTCAGAGTTTTTTTTTTTTTTAATTATTATTATTATCATCGCGAGTTTATGTCAGTCAGCACGTGCTCCGGGGCCGCCGCCGCCGCCGCCGATTGTATTAATAACAATAATAATTGTGTATCGGATTACTTATTTGCCAGTTTTTTAATCGCGTACACGGGTATAGCGCGCGCAACAATATCTAAATCAATATGGTGTCGGGTTGAAAACTTAAAAAAAAAAAAAATCCAATTTATTCGTACAACAACGGTGGTAATAACAATAATATCGTCCCGCGGCGTAAAAAAACGAAATCTACAATGCGACTCCTGTACACCCCGGTGCGGTTTTAAAAACCGACTCGTCGTCGGTGCCGCGGCGAATATCGGAAACCTCGCGTTCGACTTTCCGCGATTTTTTTTTTTTTTTTAAACGTACACTTATCGCGTACGAATGATTATTATTATTTTATCGTTCGGGCGTAACAACTACCGCACGGCAGAGTGCGTGCGCGTTGGAATAAAAAACAAAAAAAAAAAAAAAAAACATTACGGATTTCGGTTTTTTTAAGCGCATTCGGCATTATTCTAATAAATAATTTGTTTATGTTCAACGTCACGTACCCTGCACCCATAACACGTATACGTAATAATATTATTATAGTCCGCCACGACACGAAGCACAACCGAGTGCGAGTACCTATTTATATATACGCTCCTGCAACTTCCCCTCACCCGCCCCTTATGCATCGCGGGCCACCGTATAGAAATAACAAACTTATTTAAATTTTTTCCTTACACCGTTTTGGCGTGTAAAAAAAATATATATTATAGTGGTGGAGTGGGTACATAACGTACAGTGTTATTTTTGTAGAACTGCACGTTCCGATATAGTGTATACACACTAAGTAGGGCTGTGAATTTAATGCAGTGAAAAACCTTAATAATGACATTGAAAATGCATGAAAAACGCAATAAAATACACATTCAAAGGCTACAAAATGCACTTAAAATGGTTTTACATTTAGTTTTTATATTTATTTTGATATTGTTGATATTGGTACGTTATATACTTGCAATTGTGCTTGTTCAATAAAACAAATTTCTTTAAAAAAAAAAAAATTATAAAAATGTTGATCGAATTCAAATGTTGAATATAGGTTGATTATTAAACCAAAAATATGTGTGTAAAGATGTTAACTAGCGGAATTTGACTTAAAATACGAACTAAAAGGGCATACATGACTTAAAAAATGAGCGCCGATACTGGGGACGGGAGCGGCCGGTTTTGTAGGTGAGAAGTTGGGAAGGTAGGGTACATAAGGTTATTTCATTTATATCTGTGAGCAACGATAAACGATTCAGAGCGCGGTTCGATGGCTATTATATTACACTGTCGAAGCCACAGTGTGTCGCGTCGTGTCGCGCTGTTCACGCCTAGTAAATTTATGTGCCTGATAACGAAAAAAAAAATGGAAATTTTTTCAACGTTTCAAACCATTTTTAGGGAATTTTTTTTTTTTTTTTTGTTTCTTTCGATTTTTCCTCGGCCGTTCACAGCCGCGCACAAGCGTTTTATACACCCACGCGTGTATGACGTTATTGTACAACACGGTACTGCATAGCCGTTGGCGCGCGATGATAATACGATATTTTCACATCGTTACATCGAAAAATGACGTATCGGATTACGTTTTGTTTTTTTTCATTTTTTTTTTTTTTTTTTTTTTTTGGTGTTTTATTTGCGGCGGGAACGGCGACGGGGCTCTCACCACCGCACGTTATTATTTTATACGGTCGCGCCGGCGGCCGCCGCGGTTATCGGCTCGTATCATATAATATTATTTTTACGCGGCTCATTTTCGTTCCGAGAAAACAAATCGATACTATCGGTACGGTGATTTTTCGGGGTTTTTTTTTTTTTTGTTTTTTGTTTTTCACGGCACCCGCCGGCCGGTATCGATGCGCGAGAAACGCGAAGTTTTCCGCGCAATTTTTCTGTTTTTGACAGACCGACAGGAAGCGGCTGTACTGTACACGTTTTAATCTCGCGAAATTTACACCCCGTACGTCGGGCGATCCATTCGAGCGGGTACGCCGCTCCGTCATCTCGGAGGAGGAAAGTATTCGCTTTCCCCTCCCCCCCCACCGGTATTTCGCCGCTAGAAGAACATTTAAACAACAAGCAGCTCTACGATTTTATATTCCTGTTGCGTGTCACGATTTTATTCGGGAACAAATCGATGGGTTTCGACGTTGAAACGTTCGATTTCCGTCGACCCGCTGACGAGACATTCCCGTTTAAAGTTCGGGTGACAGGAGTGTAGCGGTGCATTGTCGACCGTACCGCCGCGCGAATGAGACGCTCCCGCCACGCTCTCCCGCAACCCGAAATCGAAAAAAAAAAAAAAGGATTTTCTCGTCGGAAATGTCGACGCTACGGTTTCATTTGATCGGTGGTGCGTCCGTTCACGGCGATATCGGCCGGGTCACCCGCGTTATCGGCGACCGCGCGGACGGCGAAACGAAAACGGTTGTTATCCGGCAAAACGGACTCGTCTCGGACAACGCACTGTATTATACGCCGTAATACGTCCCGTTTGAATGGTAAATAATTACGGTTTCATTATCGCCGGGCGACAACGATTAAACCGCGATCGGGACGATAAGAGGCCGGGAGACGGCAACGCGCGCGTTAAATCGGAATGTCTCTCGTATCGCGATTTCCGTTTCCGAAAGGATCGATCACCCGCAGGAAATGCCGCGGGATAATCAGAGGGGGTTTACCACTCCCCCGCCACCCGTACGGCCCGCAGTCGCGCGCGAACGATAACATTGAATAAAAAAAAAAAAAAATAGTTACGGCTACGCTGCGCAGTCTTGCGATCCGATTGATTGCAATCTATCCAACTGAAATACCCGCCGAACGTATAATGCTGTCGGCCGTCACCGTCGCCGATCGTTTAAAAATATTCAATTTATTTACATTTACTTTGCCGTTACGCGTCACGTATTTTTAATTCTGAGCGTAGCGAAGAGCGCATTGGTTTTACCAATGTGTTTTATTATTTTTTTTTATATACTGCGTACGAAAAATACATTTATTTATGCTCATTACCATACTAGGGGTTCCAAATTCAAACCAGTGTGTCGAAAAAAATAATTTGTATTTTTTTTCCTTTTGACGCAAACATGAAAAAAACAAATGGGTGTACATAGAGACCCAAGCCATCGTTCACTCGGTTTATTTTAATCGCAGGGTACATCCTCGATTTGTTGTGCAAACTTTTCTACCAGAAATCTCGCTCCGATGTATCGAGTGTAGCTAATTTTCTAAAATGACATTTTATCTCCATGGTAATTTAGGGAGGTCCTTTTTTTTTGATTTTTCAAGTGATTTTCATAATATCTGGGAAAAAACGACATAAAATGTCGGAAAAACGGAAAATGTACGAAATGTTATTATTAGTAAAACAATATTATGGCTTTTTTTTCCGTGTACGACTTTTCTACCAGCAATTTCACTTCAATTTACAATGATAGCATTTTTTTCTAAACGGAAATCCGACTGGGAAGGTACTTTAGGGAGGTAATTTTTGAATTTTCTCAAGAGTTTTCCCAGCAAATGTGAAACACCGGAAAAAAAACACGGGAACATCGGTAAAAACAGGTAAATCTGTACAATATTAAACAAATATTATTAAAGAAAATATTGAATGCCTATTTAATTATTTTACCATAGTTTACCATACATTATGTATATTTTTGACAAAGCATCACTATCAACTGAACTATGCTCAGAATCGTTTGTTCGTTAGCAATAGTTTATCGTTGTTTACAGATATACATTAAATCACTTATAAAGTAGCTGCACTCGTCTTCATTATCCTAGGACTTTTTTTTTTTTTTTTTATATAATTTCGTTTTTACACTGTCCCGGAAAACTTCAAACGAAACGGAATAAAAATACCCACGGTGGGTATAAAAAACGCATAATAATATATTACATACTACACGAGTGCCAAAAAACAATCCTCATCGCGCGTCAAACCTCTTTAATCAGTCACTCGTGCGAATTATATAAATTATATAGGCACCGCGGTAGAATTCAAGCGGATTCTTTACGGCGTTTATGAAATTTGTCATAATTTTTTTTTTTTTACCAAATTTATAACGATGATTTCGTAAATCTAATCTATGTCGTATCGTATTAAATATAGTTTCGACGTCGTATATACGCGTGATAATTCTCCAGTAATTATGCAGCGGTTTCCAAATCGAAAAAGTTTCAATTAAACTATACTAACTGCGCTACGTAAAAAAAAAAAAATCTGAATGTTATATTTAGCGTTTATTTGTCGTTGTTTCGGTCACAAGTTATTATAAAAGATTCGGACATATCTCGCACGTCCGTCGGGTGGGCCACTATTGTACAGATGAGAAGTTGGGAAGGCGCGTATAGGAAATAGAGGGAATTTCAATGTACATATTTATACACAACGCGATTACTTTTGCTAATAAAAAACGATTCTGAGCGGGGTTCTGTTATGCATGTTTTGAAAAGCCGTAATATTTGCAATTTGAAAACAAATTAATTTCGTACATTTTCCCGATTTTCCCCGTTTATTATGAATACAGCTGGGAAAATCAAAAAACCGGCCTGCCTAAAGTACCACCCCTGCAATCAGGTTTTCTTTCGGAAAAAGGGCTACACCAGAAAAGTTATGTTTTGCATAAGAGTCCCGATTAGTTCATTACCGTGCTTATAAGTGCACAACGACATCGTAGCGTCGTCGAATTAAAAAAAAAAAAGGCTTGGTTGTCCACATACGATTATTATAAAATATTATTATTGTCGTTTGGGAGTCGTGAATTTCCAACGAAAACCATTTCGCCGCTTCTCCCGAGCAGTCTCCGTTTCGTAGTCGGGGACAACATTTATGGCGAATCGGGCAGGAAAAAAGGCCGAATTCGCGCTTGTCTACGAGAGGTTTCGCGTGCGCGGTAGAATCTACCCGCGTCGACAATATATTGTCGCTGCGTGCAAATCTGTACTGATTTTCGAATTTCAAGTGTCCGTATCGCGTTCCAATAAATATAGCTGAGCAGCGATAGGTTCCCAGCGAGTTTAACAAATTGCCATTCTTAATTTTCGCGTTGCGCACGGACAAACCGAATGTCAAAAATCGCCGAGCCGCGTTTCTACAATGGCAAAGCCTGGACGCCACCCGCGGGGCGCCGGTCAGTTCTGCGGCAGTCGCCCGTGCCCATAACCCGCGGAAAAAACCGATCCGATTCGAAAATTCGTTTCGCATTCACTCGTACGGCTACGCGGGGGGGGGGGTTTACAGGATAAAAAGACCACGGCCGGGCGAAAGACAATGAAAAATCGTCGTTATCCAATACACGCAGTTCGTATGCGCGCGTACGTCGAATGTTGCACCCTGTATATACGCATCGGTATATTGTAAAAACGTGCCGCGTCGGGCCGCCCGTAAAGCGTACAGAAATCATTCGTCCGCGTTTTTATTTGTTTTACATTTTCGGGCATCTGCCGTCCTAAACAAACAAGGTGTTTCGGCCGCCCTTGTACGAAAACCGCGTGCGACGCGCACGCGAGTCGCCCCTGGTGGCGTATTTCGTTATTTTCGAGACCGCATTACCGTAATATCATATTGACGTTACGACGCCGATGTATTATCGCGATCGAATATCAAAAACACACGCGAACGGTAATAATTATAACACTGTAGAGCGGAACGCCGGACGCGGTTCGCGCCGCGGGCAGGCCGCTGACGCGGGCGGATTGCTCGGGAGGTATACGAGATAATTAAATAGTTATATTCGTCGCGGGCCCGGTACGACCGTTTAAACACGCCCGAGCGAACTTGAGTTTCGCCGCCTCTTCTACGGTGTTGTGCGAATACCACGTGAACGGTTTTAAACGTCACCCCTGAAAATTTCCGCCCTACGCGCTGCCCTGTGTCATCTGCCTTTTTTTTACCCGATCGTCGGTAAAACGAAAAAACCATTGTGAGCGGCGGAGTATATTGTTATAGTCGTGTTTGCTTCTCGTCGCCGACGGCAAACGCCCGGAAACCAATGAAAATCAAACGACAACGAACAAACGACCCATTAAAATGGCGTGGAGAAACGCTGAAAATGTCAATAGATTGTTTCGAACAACGTACCATCTCGCAGGAAATTTCGCGTCGTTTCAGGCGTGCCGTGAAAAAGAAAAACCACGCCTTTGTACAAGAATATCTATCTATGGTCCAAACGCTCAATCGAAAAATTATCTAAAAAATAACGAAAAACAGCAAGCTTTTTAGCGAAATAATATACTCTTAAAAAGCGCTTAAAACTTATTTAAATATTGAAAATCGGCCGAAAAATTCCAAATTAAAATTTCGTTTCTGTTTCTGATATACGCGTTAAACGAATCGAGTTCTGTAATTGTAAACCGTTGACTTGCCCGCCCCGTCCCTCCCCCCCCCAAAAAAAACGAGTTTTTCACCGGCGCACTAATATTTAACATTTCAAATTTTTTGTTTTTTTTTTTTCGATTTTATTATAAATGTACAGTTATAACAATAATTTAACCGTGACATATTATTAATGTAGAATTTTTTTTTTTTTTTTTCAAACGTCTGCACGGGGTTGCGCGAGGGCAAGTAGAAAGCGGTCCGTTTTATACTACGTCGCGGTATATTATATTTTATTCGCGACGCGTTTGGCAACGTTACAGAGTCGAAATAATAATTATTGTAAATAAATTTTTTTTTTTCATTGTTTATCGCGTACGATAAATATCGTATACAGGAATTTTTTTTTTTTTTTTTTTTGGCTCGAAAATTTGTATTATTTATTGCGTATACGCGCGCGTATGTGTGTGTGTGTGTGTGCGAGGCCCCCCCCCCGCAAGAGTTATATAGACAACAATATACGCGCGACGAGTTTCGCGATAAATCGACATTACGAGTTTGTTTTTTTTTTTTTTTTTCCGATTCATTTCGCGATATATTTCGACACGCGTACATTACAATATTATTACCGTTTTACACCTACCCGATACGCGGTATACTGTACGGGCGAACGCGACGTTTCGAAACGTATTTTTCAATATTACCGGCTGTACGGTTTACGATACACGGTTCGCAATATTTCGTTAATAATCACGCAATTATATTCGTAATGCGATTGGATTATTCGTTGTTTCTTCTAAAAAAAAAAAAAAAATAATAATAATAATAAAAAAACAGTAGTGAAACGCACAGCTTCTTCGCTACACTCGGATACTAAAACACAAAATTCGTATCGGGAAAGGGGTGGGGCTACATCACGAAAACTACCCGACAAATTATCAATCGCCATCTCCCCCGGAGCAATGTCGTAAATACGCCGCCGCTCTGCAGTATATTATATTACTCATTTTGGATAATTTCACGATAAAACACTATTGACCAAGTGTTTTTAATTTCAAACGGTTTTGTTTGGAATCGACGAGCCATTTGTGTGGGTCCGGTGCGTTTTTTTTTTTTTTTTTGTTTCTGTGTAAACGATACGTTCATTTTTTTGAAATTAAATTCGAAACCGCCCCGTCTTTTTCGGTCATTTCGCCGCCGAATCGCACACCGTAAAACCGCTCTCGACGAGTGACTGGCGCGGGAGGGGGGGGAAGGGGTGTTGTGGGAGCGTTCGGTCGTTTGGCGGATCTCGTTTTTAATCGTTCGCCCGGGGACCGCGTAAAGGACCACCCCGAACGCGATGCAACACAATGAGTATTACTTACGATATTATCACAGCACAATGTTACGCACTCGTATCCGACGGTTTGGCGATTTCGGACGGAAACGGTCGGGTTCGGGTACGAAAACCGGCGCATTGTTGTCGCCGTTATTAATGGTGTCTAAATGGCCAGCGTGACGGGTCCGCGCGTCGTTTATTATCGTCCGGAGTGCGGAAAAAAGCGTCCGAAAAACGGCCCGCCGGGAGACAATATAATAATGCCCATCGAAAACGTGTGGTTCGGAGCGTGCGCCGAGCTCGCAATAACGTGTCGGTTTTACGACGGTTGTTAATGTTATTTTTTCTGTGTTTTTTTTTTTTTTTCTTATCCGCGAACGACCGGAAATCTCGCCGCGATTTCGACCGCGCGGTACCCATCACCCGGGACGACGTTTTGTCCGGGCGGCACACTCGATGGGGCCGGCTGTATTGCGGTTTACGCGTGATAATCGCGAAAAACCGGGGAAATGTGCGCGTGAAAGAAACACCGCTCCGAATTGTTTTTCGTCGGCGCCGCCGGTTCATCGTCGGCGCCGCCGCAGACGCGAATCGAATTCTGCCGCTCATCCTGCGCGCGCCTTTCCGGCGGCGGCGTCCGAGTTCCGTCCCGGGTAAAAATAAAAAAAAAAAAAAAAAAAAGAATAAAGAACGGTAACGATTAATCCCGACGCGGGGGCGCACAATTACGACCGGAGGGTTTGACCGTTAAATAGTATTATCTTTATTTCTGAAATTGCCATCGCAGTCGTGAATTGTATACAACGCATTATGGCGCGGCGTGGAAAATGCGACGAAAACGGACGGAACCCGTACAACTGAACGGTACGATTTCACGGGACGCAATCGGCGTGACAGTGTTTGAGACCCGGGACGGAACTACGCGGTACACATATCATATTAGAGTTTAAATTTTATATTCGGGGCCATCTTTCCCGACTTCTCGCCCGCGACCTGCGGCCCGCCCGCCGCGCGGAACACGTCCGTGATTCGCTTACGTCCATAACCGCGTCGTGAAACGACGACACGTTTCGATTTCGCGACGGCCAATTTTCAACGGCCCGCGGACGTCGCGCGACAAGACCTCGCGATTAATCGTTTTTCGTGTACACCGCCGCCGTTATACGGCCGCCACTGTCCGCGGGGCAACAGTTTTCCCCGGGGGGGTTTTGAGCGATTCCCGTTTCTTTTTTCCCGAACCGTTTAAAACACGTGTGCCGAAAACCGGAGCCGGATCGAACGGGGGGCTGTGTGCACAGCAGTCGCAGATTTTCGGCCCTCGTATTCACGCGAATAACGGTCGACAATAAATACACGTTGGATATCGAAACGTACGAAATACGGGGGCCATTCCGTTTCAAATTAAATGTTCATCGGGATGACGACACGATTTTTCCATCTCGTTTTGGTGTTTCACCGTTGATGTCACGGAGGCGGATTCGAGCGCACCGCAGGGCCGCCGGCCAAAACGATGGTGGTGAATGGGGAGGGGGGCGTTCCGAGCGGACGATATTTCGGGGAGCGATCCGGATGAGTTTTTTTTTTAAAAAAACTAAAAAAATTAGAATAGTTTTATCGCACGTTTCTCGGGGTGTGAACGGCGTTGCGGGCGAAGGGGAGAACGGGGAATACGGAAGAAGAACAGTAAAACCCGAAACGAACCCGTACGCGGCTCGCCGCTGTCGAACGATTTTTTTTTCTCGGTGCGAGCGACGGCAGGGTGTCGATCGTGTCCAAACGCACACGCAGCCAGGCGTACCGTGCGTACCGTGTGTAGGTGCCGGGCAGGTACAAACATCGTTGGCGCGCGTCGTACACGAAACGCTTCCGCCCGGAGCCGACGCGAGTTTTGTTTTGTTTTTTTTTTTTTTTTTTCTGTAAGAAATTATACCGGCTATATAATGCGCCCGACGAGATCGCGTCGACGCCGTCGCCGTCGTACAAATATATTAATTGTGTTCGATTTTTATTTTTTTTTTTTTTTTTGTCACGAACGATATACCGCCGAGCACGAGATAAGCCCGGCACCGCGAGACTTTGCCGTATGTTTCGTATCCATTGTTTTGGAAAACATTCCGCCGTTGAAATATTTCAGGGAAAAAAAAAAATAATAATAATGAACTCTCATACAGGCATCGTACGTACGTATATGTGTATACAATTACTACGGGTATTGTAATAACGTGACACGTAGGTGAACCGCGCTACAACGTTTTCGACGTTGTTGACGTGCGAAACACGGGCCGACCGGCGTGCGCCGCAATATTGTGCGATAACCGTGGCGCGGATTTGAAAATTCCACAAAAAAAAAAAAAAAATAATCATATTAAAAGCGTTTTTGAAAACGTCAACAAAGCTCTGGGAAAAAATAGCAATAAAGAGTCGTTTCGGAGTAATCGTTTTCGAATAGATTTCGCGCGCGCGTCGAAAATAAATAAAACGCTCTGTGTCAGTGTTTGGAAAAATGGTTTGCCCGCGTAAAAATCCTATCCGCGCCCGCCGAATCAGACCGATCCGAGAGGAAAAACGTTTCGTGTTACTCGCATTATACAGGCTGGGTAGGGTCGCCTCGTTTCCCCTCGCCCGGGCGCCGGCGTGCGGGTCGGATGAGGTCGTCCAACCCGACCCAATGACCCGCGCGTGTAAATGAAAAAAAAACGACCAAAAATCGAATCCGTTAAAATGTTCCGAGATGATTCGGGCGGGATAACTACACGCCGCGGCCATCGTATCGTATATTTCGGCGCGTCCTAAATAGTTTTTTGTTTTTTTTTTCTACCGACGCCGGATCGCGATCGAAAACAATTTTAACTTTACGTTTACTGCGCGCGGGCCACTCTTCTGTGCGCGCCGCCTATATATAGGTGTCTACGATAATATGCGTGCTGTGTGACTTGTATTAATAAATACGAAAGGAAAGAGAAAAAAAAAAAAAAACGTTTATTTAATCGAATAGTTTTTTTTTCATTAGACCGATCGAACTGTTTACACAGCGGATGAACGGATCACGTTTTTTTTTTTTTCCTATCATTATTATTTCTCTCCGTATAAACAATTAACTTAGGCGATCCGACGAAAACTTCCGCCGCCGACGATACGTAAAAAACGTTCGTAATAGTGAGACGCGAGAGAAACGAAATAAAAAATAAAAACACGTGTTAATGCGCGCGCGTGTACACTTGCGATGCGTGGCGCGTTAACAAGCGAATTTTTCTCTCGGCCTTTGACGATCACATCGCAATAATACCGCGGAAACCTGGAGCGTTTGGGCGCACATGAGAGTTTCGCGCGACGACCGGGGAGGGGGAGGAGAGATAGCGACTTTGGCGTTATGGTTTTTTTTTTTTTTTGTTTTTACCGAAAATCGCGTCATATCGTTTTCGGAGAGCGTATTCGCCCCCTCCCCCCGATTGCCGGACGATCCGTTCGATCGGTGAGTGGGTGGAGGGGTGGTTGTAGGGGCGGGGTACGCTCGTTATCGCCGCGGAGGGTATTGATTGGAATGGGTACGAGAAAAAAATAAAAATCACCGGGCAACAGGAGAGATAGATATTATATAATAACTCCATGACTGACTGACTGCATCACTCCCCGTTTTCGAATCATACACGCCGCCGATCGCGATTGCTGTCCGGTTTTTTATTTTTTTTTTTGTTTTTAATTTTCCGCGAGCAAAAACCACGCCGGACGAGAGAAGTTTTATCGCGCGGCCGCTAGGAAATCGGGCGACCACAACCACGCGGATTTCGATCCGGTTTACTCCGCGGTCGTCTACGGAACGCCGCGATTGGAGCAATAAAGTAGGCGAGGGGAGAGGGACGGGGAGGGGGAAACGGTTTTTCGAAATTTCGCGTAATCGGAGAAAACATTTCGGGAAAACGGCGCTCAACTACCGGCGACCGAGTTCAGTGCGTTTCCCCCGACGACCGCGAACATTAACGGCCGGGCACGCATTTCACGGCCCGTCGTCGGCGAATTCGCCCGGTCGTTCGCGGAATCGCGGTAAATTTATACTTTTCGTTCGTTTTGCGCTGTCGGTCAAGAACGTCGTCTGCGGCATACGCGCGCTCTCGGTCTCGTTATTCCGACGATGCGTTCAGGCGAAAATTCGACGGTCGGTATTTTAGCTGTTAACATTTCGCGCGCCACACGTAACCCGCTTGAAAATCCGGATGTCGACAACGGTTTGACAATAGGCCAATACGACCCGAAGTTAAAACCGGCGGCGCGAAACGAACGGAGAGAGAGAGCACAACGGGATTTCACGAGTTGCAGTCCGCCGACAGAGTGCAGCGCGCGCACGTGTTCCGAAATTACGCGCAGCCCTTACTTTTTGTACGCACAGTCGCGAAAAAAAAAAAAAAAACGAAGAGCAACATCAAAGCGTCGTGCGAACCGTTTCTGTGTGGGTACAGAAAAACGGATCCGGACGCGGGAAAAATCGTATGAAATAAAACGAATACCGTGAATGTTTAACGAGGTTTTAATTGTATTTTATTTTATATTTTATCCTTTTCATGCACGGGTGCCTTTACCTCGACAATTTCCACGCGAGAAAAACCGTCGACATTCTTTGCGGCTCACACCCATAGTGTAAATGAAATTCGGAAATTAAACGGAAACGCCGATTGGTTGTGAATTTTGTCGGCTCGATTTTCTTCTTATTTTGCCCCCCTCCCCCCCAACAACCACCGAACAACGTCAGGGGACGTCAAAAACAAAAACGTTCCACGCGGCCGTCGCCCGGATAAGAACACCCCGCCCACCCGTCGTCGCGCGCCCGAAAACTTAAGAGGACGTCGCGCCGGCGTCGACCGGTCGGCTCCGCGTTACACGCGCGCCGGACACGCCTGGTAAGTTCGCGCCGATGCGGATTCGCCCGTCGGTAAGCAGACGATACCGGGACGCGTGCTCTGGCGTCGACGGTTTTTCCGGTTTTTCGACTTTGAAGCGAGACACGGTCGTCTTTCCGAACCGCCGCGTTCAACGCGCGCGCGCCTCGTTCGAAAACGGAAACGTCGAAAAATCGCCAACGCCAGAGCGCGTAATGTACCCCGATCCTCTCGCCGTCGATTTTGGTGACGGGTCAGTTCGAGATTCCGACGTCAGCGCTCGCGTCCGCGAAATGCGCCGCGTCCGTCCCGCGTGTCCGTAAGACGGAAATCGAAAATGTCGACGCCGAAACGTCGCGGGCCGCGCGACAGACCGTCCGACGGCCTTTTCCGGACACGATCTCGCGTCACGGTTATCGCCGTAACGCGCGCGGGGCCCCCTACGCCGGTGACCGTACGGTTTTAGGTTCGACCGGTTTGATAACCGCGGTACCGTGTTCCCGATACGTTTGAATTGTGCGGACCGACACCGATGAGTTTTGGACCGTTTCCGCGCGGTAATATTGCGTTTTATTCGTTTTTCGTTAAATCCGTCGGTCGTTTGTGAGACCGTTGTGTCGGCGGAAGTTACGGCCGACAAATGTCCGGGGAGAGATTTCATCGAACGTCGTATCGAAATCTGATACAATCGAACGAAATTCGAAACCGCGGACCGTCATTATTGGCGCCCGGGGCTTATTGCGTTTGAAATTCGCGAGAAAAATACGCTTGCGGACGTGGAAAAAACCTCGAAAAACAGCATTTAAAAAAAGAAAAATGTTATTGCAGAACAAAACGGTACGGAAGGGTTTACTTAAGGGTGTCCTGTTCAACGGCTTCGAATCGTATTAAGTACAATTTTCTAACACGGCCCGAACGGCCGTCGAATAACAATAATTTCGTTCGAATGAAATTTTAAAAAAAAACCCGACTCCGGGTCAATAATTTGCGTAGCGTCGGAAAATCGTATAGAAAGTCGGAGAGCTGTTAGACGGGAAAACGTTTACGTAAACCTTGCTCCTACGGTTCTGCCGTTTTCGCTTTTTCCGATGTTTTCCTCTTGGTTTTTCGGGGGGGGGGGGGGGTTTCTTTCTTTTTCGCGGGTTTTCAAATGCTCTTTTTGCGGGTTTCCGTGTGCGTTCGACACGACAATAAACTTGTTGCGCGGGATCCGTCGCCACGTACGGGACGATAACCGGCGATCGAGCCGTTTGCGGAATTTTCGACACTACGACATTTTCGATCGCGCCGTCGGAAAGTCTGTCGGAAAGTCACGCGCGGAACCGTTTCGCCGACGAATAAACGACTACCGGGGGGGGGAGGAGGGGACGATAAAGCGGAAAACGACCGCGCGGCGTTCCGGAGAGCCGTTCGTCTCCCGGACCGTCGGACGGTTAGGTCAAATGGTTAGGTCAAATTGTTTCGCGCGCGTTCGCGTTCGAACACTCCGTCCGCGCGAAAACGATACGGACGCGTAAATAACGTTCACGCGCGTTTCGGGTTCGTCATCAGGGAGCATTACCGGGCCGAGTTATTTTTCCAGTAACACTCGTCCTCCGGGTGATGCGCTCACGCTCCGCGGCACGCCGCGCGGAATACGCGACGTCGCCGGCCGCGCGATGCCGTAACGATGGTGTTTTGTTAATCGCATTGTATTTATTCTGTACGAAATACCGAGCGGGTTAGTAAAAACAAAACAGAAAAAAAAAACCACAAAAAACAACGTGTCGGTCGACGGGTATGCAGGGTACGGGGGAGGGGCACGGGCGTACTATTGTTGGGACGACACGATAATAATTGTAATTATCGTGGGCAACGGCGTACGGGGATTGCCGGGGGAGGGGAAGGGAGGGGGGGCGGTGGCGATGGAAGTCGACCGGTTGTCGGTGTCGAAAAAGAAGAAATAAAACACAAGGGGGGAGGGGCGAGGGGGGAAACTCGTGGAAAAAAAAAAACCACAACAACAACAACAACAGAACGCCGCGCTGAAACGAGCTACGTGAAATATCGCGCGGTCGCTTACCCGTCCTTCTGTTCGGCCGCCCGGTCCCGCTGCCTGCGGTTTTTGAACCAGTTGGACACCTGCGTGGTGGTCAGCCCCGTGGCCTCGGCCAGCTCCCTCTTCTCGCGCGGGCTCGGGTACGGGTTACTGGAGTACCATTCGCGCAACACCATCCGCGACTTTTCCTTGAAACAATAGCTGGTCTCCTCGCCGTCCCATATGGTCCGCGGCAACGGGAACTTGCGCCGGACCCGGTACTTGCCGACGGCGCCCAGCGGACGGCCGCGCAGTTTCTCCGCCTCCACGTAGTGCGCCTTGAGCCACAGCGCCTGCAGCTTGGGATGGTTGTGCGCGGAGAACTGGTTGCTCTCCAGCAACCGGTACAGTTCCTTGAAGTTGCCCCGGTGAAACGCCACGATCGCCTTGGCTTTCAGCACGCTCTCGTGCTTGTGCAGCTTGTCGCAGCTGGGCAACGACCACAGGAACCGGCCCAGCCGTTCGATGTTGCCGGACTGTTGGAGCACCTCGCACACGCACGCCACCTGTTCCTGGGTGAACCCGAACGACGGCAGGATCGGCGTCATGCCCGTGCCGGCTCCGCCGCCGCCTATGCTCAAGCCGCCGACGGACGACGAGCTGCCGGGCGAGAGCTGCTGTTGAGACTGCTGCAGCTGCTGTTGCTGCTGCTGCTGCTGCTGGGATTGCTGCTGCTGCTGCTGTTGGGTCCCGGAGCCCGGGTGGTGCGGAGACGCCGGGTGCTGCAGACCGCCGATGACGGGTCCGCCGCCCGGATGGTCCACGCCAAAATTCCCGAAATTGCCGGTACCGCTGCCGATCAACATCGCCGCTGTGGCATTCACCGCGTCAACAACCGACGGCCGGACGACTGCGGCGATGACGGTACGGCGGTACGGCGGTAGACATGACGAACGGCGGGATAAAAAAAAAAAAAAAAAAAAAACCGCGTCGCCGACGATTTACTATTGCGCTCGGATAAAAACGGATTGAAAACCGACCGGATGAAAAATGTTTTATAAAAAAAAAAAAAAAAAAAATTACGACCCCGACAATGTATCGCACGGGCGTATTTATCGTAAACGGTGTGACTGTCGCGCGAGCGTAGATCGGAACCGTGTGACGCGATGTCTTTTTGTTCGCGGTTCGGACGTTCCGTGTATCTCGGGCGCGCGCGCGCGGCGTACAGTGTGTGCGTGTAGGACGTATACGACGACGTACGGTCTCGGCGGCCGACTGACGCGACGGCTACGACGACGTCCCGGTCGACCGGCCTCGGCGGCGGCGGCGGCGGCGGCGGGCCGGCCGGACGCGCCGCGTACCCCACCGCCGCCGTTTTCGCGCGGGTTACCGTGGTTACCGGTGCCGGCCGCCGCGCGCCGGGTCCGGTCGCGCGGTGGGCGGCGCCCGCGGCCGCGGATGGGCGCGGTCTTTGTCCGCGGGCGGCGCCCGCCTCGCGTTTTTTTACAAACGTAACAGTGCCGCGGCGGGCGCGGGAAACGACAACAACAATAATAACAATAATAATGTTAATATCCGTTCGCGCGCCTTCCGCGCAGCCGACGCCGGCGTCCCGGGCGCCAAAACGCGAAACGGTTTTTCGACGATCACGCGCAATGCCGTCGGCGCCCGTCATTGTCGCGGCGACCGCGGGAAAATCGAAAAAACCGTCGCGCGCGCACATCCGGTGTCGCGGCGAATTTCGTTCGCCCGGCCGTTTCGCGCCGTTCGTCTCAAATACCGCGGCGCGTCGGCCCGTCGACTGAATTGTACGGGCGAGCGTGCCGTTCGTGTTCGACGTTTTTTTTTTTTTTCTTTTTTCTAAATTTCGTAATATTTCGCGCCGTAACTCGCTTCGGGAATCGAAACACGGGGAGAAAATCGACGGCCGACACGGGCCCACAACGTCCGTTGTTACCTTTGAGCCCGGTGCGATTGGCCCGTACATTGCGCGCCGTTGTGACGAACGCCGCGAAATCGGTTTTCGTATCCAAAACGCGCAGGCGTAATTACGACCGCGTGAACGGACCACACGACCGTCGGCCGTAACGCGCGCGCGGGCACGCCGCGAAACGTTACGATATTGTGACGACGACGATCATAATAACAGGTGGATATTCAAACCGCCGTCGGCCGTGCCCGGACAGACTTCGCGGAATCCGATACATTTCGACTTCCCCCGTCGGCCCCGCCCGACCCCGGAGATTCCGGGCGATGCGAGTTTGTGACACCGGTTTCACTACCGCGTACCGATACATCGCTGTGCGCGATCACCACCGACGTCCAGCGAGATTTAATTTCGCGACGCGTGTTTTTTTTTGTTTGTTTTTTTCTTGCATTTTCGCTTTGGTCGGTGTCCATACTTCGGACGGGCGGTTTTGTTTCTCTTCCGAAATTATCGTTAGTGTTCTCGAGATGAACGACGGAAAACTGGCCAAGACAGAATATTAATAACAGCGAGACGTTGTCGTTGGGTTTGTGCGGTCTCGATCGTTTAATCTTTTTTCTGAACGGCCGTCGCGGTCGCGAAAACGCACGTCGTTGTAACAGCTGCACTGCTGTTGTGACCGAGCTCCACTCGGTGGCGGTGCTCTCGTTAGCAATGGTATTCAGGCCCGTTCTCCCGAACATTTTGCGACACGGGGCCGACTCGCGCGGGGCGCGCCTTTTTCTCGTCTAAATTTTACTTCAGGATATTAAATCTAGGCACGCGCTTTTCACGGAAATGCGCCGATAGCGCTTTTATTGTCTACAGACTATAGGTATATGGACTTCGACTAAGGCGGCTTTCCATAAATAATAATAATTTGTGCACGGTAACATCGCACGAACCCCGTTTGTTATGTACAGATACATTTAGTATGCGAAACCGTTATAATCCTAAATATTTACAAAAAAAAAAAGTAAAATATATTAAAAATCCTTTGCAGTTCATAATAGTCCGTCCGTTGATATTATGATAGCGAATTGTTATTATTTTATTTATCGCATCAATGCAGTTATTGAATCGTCGTTTTAACCTAAGTTTGTATTTTGTAACAGGTCGGCAATTTCCGATTAAATGGGATCAAAAACAAATTTGATTTTTTTTCCCATGGACGCACGGGACCCCGTGATTATTTGGTCTCCGGCGGGCGGCCCGGGTCAATTTTGACCAGGAACCCCCCCCCCCTTCCCTCCCTCCCTTCTGAACGGGCTCGACGACATTGATCGTTGCGCGCGTACAGCGGTACAAAGTCGATTCCCCTCTGTATCCCGTACCTTGCCGACTTTTCACCCGCGACCTACAACAGTGGCTGCACCCGTGGTGCGAAGTGTGTCGGCCCGTTTTATATTTTTCCCGTGCGCTATGCGTGAAACGAAATTCCGCGACGAGTACAGCGCGAGTACGATGCGCGGGGTCGTGTGGCTGCCGACAGTAAAACAAACCATAGTTTTTCGTTTTAAACGTGTTTTCGCGTTGTTCAAAACACGTTTTCCGTAAATATCGTATTACACCGTGCGCGTTGTGCACGCGTGCAGTCGATCAAGAACGGCACAACGATACTCGAAGGAATGCCGCTGCTCAACCGTCCAAACGCAACCGGAACTGTTTGTGTTCGTTTATATTTTAAAGGTCGGGTATTTACATTTTTACAAGGGAACCGCATCGCGGCGTGCGAACATTTTCGGTTTACCGAATTGTCGAACGTTCAAAACGCTTCGTCGGGTACGGTCGGGGTGCGTTACAAGAGCGGAACCGCCGCGATTACAACACAATCGCAAGCCTGTAGATAACGCGTACCCGGTGCGGTGGGCCGCGCGGTTTCTCGTCTTCTAAGGCCGTGGGCGGCGACAGTTCCGTTGTTCAGGTTCAATTGCGAACGCAGTCGTTGAATGTTCCGCGGTCAGACATCCCGTAATTGATCGCGTAATTTCCGAAATAGTCCCGACCACCGCGGCCGTCACAGAGCGGATTTTCCGGCTGGGTCTCCCGCGTATTGTTTTTCGGCTGTCATTCGCGTGCACCGCGATCCGGTCGGTTTAGGTCGGGCAAGGTCGGCTTGAAGGGTGGTGGTGGTGGTTTATCGGAGCAGCTACCCGCTCAGAACGGACACGTCTCCCGAGCCCCCGAGCCCCAACGTTTCTCGCGCGCGCGACCCCGCGGACGGAACGATGTAGCGCCGCGTTTTTCGGGCCGGGTAACCGCGGTGGGCACCGTCACCGTTCCCGCTCACGGTGGCGCGAGAACCCGTACGTGGTTCGAGGGGGGGAGCGGCGGCGCGGCCGTGAAGCGAGTCCGCGGAGCGGAAACGGGCGCGCGGGGTCTCTGCGGCGGCGCTGCTGCGCCGGGAACCCGACCGGGACGGTTACCGCGGTCGGCCGTCGGTTGACCGTGCGGCCGCACGGCCCGAAAGCCGAATTCCCGCGGTCGCACGTGAGACCGCGTCGGGTAAACGACGGCGGAGGAGGAGACGCGCGCCGTCTCACCCGGCTCGCGATAAAGAGAGAAATTTTGCGGGTCGGATCGAATTATTGTCGCGGGCGATACGCAACACGCGACATGTGTACGCAGCCATTGGGTGGGCGGTCAATCGCTGCGAGAGCCGACTACGCGTTGTGTGCGCCGGGCGACCGCGAATAACGGCCGTCGCCTTATCCGGGGGGAGGGAGGGGGAGGGGGGGGTGGTGCTGATCGGCGAGCGATTTCGGCCCGCGCAAAAATACTCCGCCCGCTTATCAGTCCGCCGGACCGCGGTCGACACACGTTGTTACCGTTGTTTCGACATGACTACAAATGGTTTATTTGTTGTTATTTTTCTCAACGCGTTTCGAAAGATTTCGCGCGCTATAACAATTGCGCGTTATTTCTGCACTGTCGAACACTCCGCTCCAGTGGCGTACGCGGGATTTTTCAACCGTCGGGGGGAGATGGGGGTGGGAATCGGGTTGAAAACGTATGACCGATCGGTTGTTCCGTCGCAAAAATAACAATCTCGTACGCCTAATGATATCTCGCCCCGTGATAATACGTAAGTAATACGATGATGATGATAACATCGGCGATTAAATTTAATTGTTGACTTACGAAAACAATGTATTTCGTGAAAAAAAAAAATTACACAGTTACTAGCTATTGTTACAGTCGACACTTGAAAAATATGAAAACACGTATGATTACGGTGTGGAATAGGAGTGGAAGGTCAGCCCCTTAGTCTCCGCCCCCCGCGTACGCCGCTGCACTACTCCGTGCACGAGCTCAGGCTTAACGGAGTAATACCAAGAGTATAAGGGGTAGTATATGCTTTTCTATGCATACGCCTATATTTCATTGTACGTATGTTTTAAAGACATTTTCAATTCGATAGACAATCGATCACCCTTACCTATTCATCCGGTCTAAAATTGAAACTGTTATAACTCATAAACGGCCAATCTGATATTAGCGTTATGCGTATCAAAATTTCTAGACAAATATTCTCAAATCAAATAAGTGTTCAAAAGAACAGGAGGCCGTTCCTATTTGAAAACCAAATGTATGTAATTATTTAAGGTGCGTCTGAAGCAGGGGTAAAAAAATTAAAAGTGGTTTTGAAATAGGGCTTAAAAGAATACGTAATAATAAGAAAAAACAAAAATTAAATTCACTTAAAATCATTTTGAAATAATTGCTGGTTCACGATAGCGAAAAATCGCCCTGTTTTTTTTTTAATGATAAATAATATAAATTTTTTTGATTAATAATAAAAATAAATTAGGTTGGAATATTTATATTCGATTGCTGACCGATGCTGACGGAAAAACGATTTTGAACGGAGCTCAGTTGATAGTGTTACTTCGCCAAAAATATAATACATGTTATGTAAAATAATTGCATACGCATTAAATATTGAGAAAACTCCTGAGAAAATCAAAAAAACAACCGCTTCAAAGCACCTTCCCGGTCAAATTTCCTTTCAGAGTTATTCACGGATAAAAAAAAAATAATAATAATGATAAAATCAACACAGTTTTATAACCATAAGCTTCTTCGCTCCACTCAGAATCTAAAAACCACCTGTATATATATACATCAGCTTAGAACAATCTTATCATAAAGAGGTCAATGAATGTGCCGTATAGGTGAATAAAACAACTAAACAGCCGACTACAGTGATAATTGCTCGAAAATTTAAACAATTGTGACCACTTGTAAAAAAAAAATTTCCTCGAAATATATTTATAAGTATTTCAGCGTAATTTTTTGACACGAAATACATTTTGCATGTATTTAAAAATAATTATTTAAAGAAGCGGACTATCGGGAAAACTCTCGGATTCTCGCGGTCGCCCGATCCGCCCCTAGGTACCTAAATAAATATCAAAAAACGAACTCGACATCGTAACATAATATAAACGATTTTTTTTAAAAAAATGTCGTACGTACAGAAAAATTTGTCCAGCGTTAATTGTGAATCCTAAAAATGATATTTGATTTTTTTTTTTTTTTTTAATCTTGCGTTGCGAACATTTACCCTTCTTCGTTCGCGCACAAGCACAGAGCATGGGACCCTGGTACTCGATGTCGAATTCAAACCGTCGTAATATTTCAAAACGCGTGTCGAACCGTCTGCCGAAAAATAATTTTATCTAGAAACGCCGGCGGTTTATCGTTAAACGGTCTACGATAAATATCATTTAACGCGCAGCTATCTTGAAGAAACGACACATCGCGCGATTAACTAAGACAGTTGAGGGTTTTTTTTTTTAAAAAAAATTGTTAACTCTAATCGCTATTTCCTAAACATGAATTCCTATCGTCTCGTTCGAGTAAATCGAAAACCTTAAATCATAATGTCTAGAAACGTGGGCTAGGTAAATTTTACGGTAAAAGCAAATGTACGTGAATTTAGATCGATATTTTAGATTCTGAATGTAGCGAAGAATGTATTGGTTTTACAAAGATGTTTTTTTTTTTTATTTTTTTTTTTATGCGAACACTTTTTCTCTCAGAAAGTTCACTCCCGTGTATCCAATGTAGACCTTTTTCTGAAAGGAGACTTTCTTGGAGTGGTACTTTAAGTAGGTCATTTTTCGATTTTCTCAAGAGTTTTCCCGATGAATTGGAAAAACCGAAAAAAAAAAAAAACGAGAAAATGTACGAAAAGTATTAGTAAATTATTACGTTCTTTTTTTTCTGCGGGCGATTTTTCTCGAAGGAAATCTGACTGGGGAGCTACCTTAGAGGGGTCATTATTTGATTTTCCCAGGAGTTTTCCAAAATAAATTGAAAAAACGGGGATAAAATAAAGGAAAGCCGGGAAAAAACGTAGGAAGACTTTTCTTACGTTTCTATCCATATCAGTAATTGTATGTGAACATTAATCTGCGTGTTGATTTGTTTATTAAAATTTAGGTATTTACAGCTTTGAATTACTTCGGTACCGGCTCTTATCAACATCCCGTTGGAAATTGTCATCTATCCTTTTCCATTGTAGGTGTGGACGTGTACGAGCGAGAGCATGGGACCCTGGTACTCGATGTCGAATTCGAATCGTCGTAATATTTCAAAACGCGTGTCGAACGCAAAACCGTCTGCCGAAAAATCATTTTATCTCGAAACGCCGGCGATTTATCGTTAAACGGTCTACGATAAATATCAATTAACGCGCAGTTATCTTGAAGAAACGTCATATCACGCGATTAACTTAAAAAGTTACGAAGTTACGATAGCAAATTATGTTGTCTACCGGAAATATTGGTCCAATCAAAAAATTACAAGACATCGATTTTGTTCCATTTAATATCTGAGCACTGACAGTGAAAGTTATTTTTCGATATCCAAAATAATTTTCATAATAATCGGGTAAAATCAAAAAAATCGAAAATACGTTTTTTTTTTTTTTTTTCAAATTACGGCACAACTATTTCATTTATTTAAAATGCTTAAGATTAAATTTTTTCACCGGATAGCTTTGTACAAATTTCAAGAACAGCATATTTTATGAAACGAAGTTTCAACGAGTTTGTGAAGTAAGCAAGTCGTTTGATTTTCCGTATGTAGTTGTCCTTGTATTTACGAAAAACCAGGAAAAACGTAGGAAATGCGGAAAACTCTACGGCATTCGGATTTTTTTTTTGTTATTCGGCCATGATCATGTTGATTGTCGGTTTTTTTTTTCATCTTATCAGTACTTACTTTAGAAGTTTAAATTGTTTTTAACTGTAATAATTATTTTTTTTTTTTTAAAACTTAACTGGACAAAATTACAACATCTTCTCTACACTATAACAAAATACAAAACCACAATTTTTACGTTGTTCGCTATCAAATAAAAGTAAACAATTTCCTAAAATCAATAAAACAATAACACGTAAGTATATAATATACATTGTGTCATAATCGAAATTATAGTTCGTCTTTATGTAGGTATGCGTATAATTTGTACGAGTTTACCTAAAATTAACGCACAACTATCTTGAAGAAACGTCATATCACGCGATTAACTTAAAAAGTTACGAAGTTACGATAGCAAATTATGTTGTCTACCGGAAATATTGTTCCAATCATAAAATTACAAGACATCGATTTTGTTCCATTTAATATCTGAGCACTGACAGTGAAAGTTATTTTTCGATATCCAAAATAATTTTCATAATAATCGGGTAAAATCAAAAAAATCGAAAATACGTTTTTTTTTTTTTTTTTCAAATTACGGCACAACTATTTCATTTATTTAAAATGCTTAAGATTAAATTTTTTCACCGGATAGCTTTGTACAAATTTCAAGAACAGCATATTTTATGAAACGAAGTTTCAACGAGTTTGTGAAGTAAGCAAGTCGTTTGATTTTCCGTATTTAGTTGTCCTTGTATTTACGAAAAACCAGGAAAAACGTAGGAAATGCGGAAAACTCTACGGCATTCGGATTTTTTTTTTGTTATTCGGCCATGATCATGTTGATTGTCGGTTTTTTTTTTCATCTTATCAGTACTTACTTTAGAAGTTTAAATTGTTTTTAACTGTAATAATTATTTTTTTTTTTTTAAAACTTAACTGGACAAAATTACAACATCTTCTCTACACTATAACAAAATACAAAACCACAATTTTTACGTTGTTCGCTATCAAATAAAAGTAAACAATTTCCTAAAATCAATAAAACAATAACACGTAAGTATATAATATACATTGTGTCATAATCGAAATTATAGTTCGTCTTTATGTAGGTATGCGTATAATTTTTACGAGTTTTCCTAGAATCGATGTCCCGAAAACAACCAACACAACTAAAAAAATGATTAACATAATAAAATGGTTTTAAAAAAAAACTTTTAAATTACGTTTAATTTTTTTTTACTACGAAGTATAACTTCGAATATTGTGATTGATTTTAGATTTCGAGCGAAGCATGTGATATGTATTTGTTTTATTACGACGCGCCATTGATTAATTTGTTTTTTATCTGTGAGCAACTTTTTTTCCAGAAATTTTGCTCCGAGCAAAAATTAAAATGAAAATTTTGCTGAATTTTAAACGTAATTGGTCTATTGAAAAAGAAATTAATATTTTTTAAATTTTACAACGGGTTCATGATAATTGGAAAAAACCATAAATGAAGAATGGACAAATTTACGGCGTTAACGATTTCATTGTTTAACATTTTTTTTTTTTTTTTTTTTTTTATTGAATCCCGGCCGTGTGATAGTTGGTGTGGGAGATTTTCAATAATTGTTCACATCGTTTTACGATCGAATGTAAAATTTATATTAATTTACGCGTATGCGATTTTTTTTTTCTCTTTTTTTTTTTTTTTTTTTTTTAGATGCAATTTAATGTCGCAGCGTGCGGTGGCTGTTTACATAAAACCATAAATTACACGTCGCGCGCGTACGAGGCGTTTACATTTTATCCGCTTATTGTTTGTGTGTGCGCAACATCCGAATGACGCGCCGAAACGACGTTATTAGTGCGCAACATCGTATTAGGAAAACGCGGCCCTCAATAGAAACGGCACCGCGATTAACGGATAGGTTAAAAATGCGCGCGCGCGAAACGTTTTTTTCGTTTTTTTTTTTTTTTTTACCCCGAACGCGATTGTCGCGCACAATTACGCGTGCCGAGGAGGAGTGCGGCCCCGACGGACGTGCGTCGTACGTCTTCTTTTTACGGGTCGCGAATGCACGACGCGAGAATTTATAATTTTAAACGTATTTGTTGAAACAAACAATGTAAAACGTACGACGTAAAATTAGCTGAATAATTGTTCGTTTTTTCTCACGCACGACAGCAATTACATAGAATTTTTTTTCACGATACGTTTCGGCGTAGCGAGGGAGCGATTGGTTTTACTTTGTTCTGGTCTGTGGACACGTTTTTTACCCTATTAAACTCGCTCCGACTTTTACGTGCAGCGACTTTTCTGAAAGTTCAAATTCGACCGGACGATACTTTATGGAGGTCGTTTTTCGATTTTCGACGCCATTTTTTAAATGAAAGCACTTAAGCGGGAAAAAAACGTACAATTTCACGTTTTCGTTATTTTATAAAAACACGGGTGACGTTTTCCACCAATCGAAAAATCTTAAGTCACCTTTTTTGTTGCTTTTTCGATTTACTTTCTAACGGTGTCATCGTAAAAACTTTTAATCCAGTTTTGAGCTTTTAAAGAATTTTAATTTTCGGTAGATTTTTTGCTGTAATTCAGTTAAAAATACACGTAGAGACCTGCGACTTGGTAATGAAACTTATATTTGACTTACATAAACGCGGTAAAATGCATCCTACTTTCTCAACTTCTCACCTACACTATACGTTTTTTTCCCACTTGAGTGCTTTTATTTAAAAAAAAAAAAATGAAGCCGAAAATCAAAAAATGACCTCTTTAAAGTATCATCTAGTCAATTTGTACTTTCAGAAAAGTTGCCTAACCAACCGTCCGGATTACATGTGCGACGTGCCGCCGTAATTTCCGTTTACCGGCCGTTGTCAATTTCGTACCGTTTTATTTCGCCGTAACGTACCCGATTGCACATCGGGCGCACCCGTTTCGGTCGTGTCGTTCCCGGTGCCCGGACTCCGTTTAGAAATAGATGTAAACAAAAAACAACCGTACGCGGTTTTTCGTCGAACTCGTATCGTTTCGGTCCATCGCCGGTTTTTTCGTCGCGACGCGCGTGACACGCCGCGTTTTGTCGATCGCGTTCGGCGTGTTTTTTTGTTTTTTTTTTTTTCCATTTTCGCCAAAGACGACGCAAAAAACACGCGGAGAACAACAACGACGACGACGATAACGATAATAATAACACCAATCGTTATCGATGTACGACGGCGGCGGCGGCGATGACGGGCAAACGCGCGCGCGGTCATGGTTACCGGAACGCTGTCGGCTTGTTTCCGTGGTACGGGTAAAAAAAAAAAAAAAAAAAAACAATAACAATAATAAAAATAATAAAAAAAATACCCGGAATAACAGTGCGGAATCGTGTGCTTTCAACCCGCGTTTTCACGGCGCGTTATCCGGGCCCGATTCGAGTTTGTCGAGTGTACCGTTTTGTCGCGCCGCGCACCGCGTAACGCGGCGCCTCGCCCGCAGTCGGAACACATACGGAAGGCGTTGGCCGTCCGATCGAGCGCGACGCGAACGGCCGTCCGGTAGACGGAATACAGCGGAAGGTGCGACGAAATAGGAGAGGCGGGCGCGAACCGGTAGGGCGCCGCGCCATCATGGAAACGGCCGCGGGTCGACGGGACGGGACGGCCGTCCGGCGGAAAGCCAGCGTGTACCTGAAACAGATCATCGGCGCCGGCGCGTTCGGCCGGGTCTGGTACTGCGTGACCGTCGGCCTCCGCCGCCGGGAAACCGTCGACTTGGCCTTGAAAATCGTCAACAAGCAACCGCGGCCGGGCCTGAGCAACGCGTCGGTAATCGACCGCGAGATCGCCGTTTTGAAAACGGTCCGCCATCCGAACGTCGTCCTGTTGATCAGATCCGTCAGCAGCAGCAGCCACGTGTACATGTTTCTGGAATACTGCAAGTATTACGCCGCCGCACGTTGACGATGGGCCGCGATGCGCGACGGTCGAACGTGAACGAACCGGACCCGACCCGACCCGGGACAGACCCTGACCGCCGCACCCGACCGCGGGGCGCCGCGCGCACTCCGCCCGTGCGTTTTCCGCCCGACGCCCGTGTCGCGCCGCGTCCGCCCGTCGTCGGCACCGCAGTCTCCGGCCCGCCGAAATCGCGTCGGGCGGACCGTCCGGCTGTACGGTTATGAGCCGACGCGCGCCGATCGTTTTGACGAATACGCGATCGCCGACTCGTCATCACAAACGAGCACGTGTACGTCACACACCGTATGCACGTTTTGTCCGATTGTCCGATTGTTCCGTTTCGATTCTCGAACAAGCGATAGGGTTCATAAATATTTTCGGGTTTTTTTTTTTTTTTTTAATGAACTTTTGACTTTTTGGGAAACGCCGTTTTTATTTGTCCGGTACGCCGGTCTCTCGATGTCTTAACTACACCCGTCGTTCGCCGTGTGTTCAAAAACCAGAATAATACGACAATCGCATAGAATTTTCACACGGTTTTAAATGTTGAACGAACAGTGCGCCTCGCGCAGCCTTAGCGGGTAAAGATCACGCTAACGGGCGGAGATCGGACGAAAAAAGCGTTGAGCGGAAAACGCGCGGGCCGAAAGCGCGCGCCGCCCCGTACGGAGTGTCTCACGATATCTCCCGAGATAACAAAAAGATAATCAACTTTTGTCGATTTTTTTTTTCCTATTGCTCTGCGGCGGGTGTGGACCACAAATATTCGTATTCAAATTGAATTTTTATGTTTTAGCAAAAAAAAAAAAAAAAAAAAAATGTAAAAATTTATTTTAAAATGAATAAAACTGATATATCTTCAAATTTGCCGCCAACAATAAAATAAAACTTATTTTTGACATTTGTTTTTTGCCAAAATATAATGATTTGTTTTAAATGCGGCGGTACGGTGATTGAGCGTTTCTAACGTAAGTTTTTCGCTCTGGTCGCCTCCCGATTCAATATACCCCATCCTCCTCACTAAAATAGTATTTTAACTCCCTGCCTCATGCACGCCGCTACCGCTGACCCGTCTTCCGTGTAAATTTACAAATTGTACTTCTTGTCGATTCACTTGTCTTTTGGACTTGCCCGTCTAAATAAAATAAATTACAAATATTTGTGGTCCTTATCCCCGTGAGTAATGTACATGAAAAACGAATAAACCAGAAATGCCCGTTATAACGGGCGTATCTCCGCGGGACACTCTGTAGTTGCCCGGGTGCAGTGAAACGACCAAGGAGTATTTTTACTGTAGCGATGAAAATTCCAGAAAAGTTCGTTTTTTTTTTTTTTTTTTTTTTTTTTTTTAAGAGGACCTCCGCATGTGCTGTTTCCAGTTTCACGAAAAAATACCCCAGACAAAACATATCCCAATAAAAATATTCCGTGAGAAAATATCCGCGTAAATATTAATTTAATTCAATAAACAATTTTCACTTTTGTAATTAATGCAACGTCAAATAGTTATTATTCTCTTTTTACTCTTTCGGTGTGTACCGAATGAATAGTCTTCAAATATTAGTAATGCATTGCCGTTTTGGCTTTGTGTGTATTCTAACATTTTATTAATTAAAATTTTAAAAAGTGTTAGTTAAATAACTCAATTTAAGACTGTTAGCTCACGACGCGTGTTGTATGTGTTAATGAAAACGGCACACTATACTATTATCAAACTAACGAATTGCACACAATCACTTTAGATAAAATGCGATTGCTGTTATGCTATTATTACTCCTAATCGCATAACATATCTAATCGCGACTTTTAGAATACATTTTAATATTAAAATTTTGAATTGATAATTACGCGGACAATTTTTTCACGGGACATTTTTGCGGGGATTATTTTTGTTTTGGGATATTTTGTCAGGGATATTTTGACGTGTCACCGCTGTTTTCACATGGCGAACCTGATGCATTATAAGTTTTAGATAACAACATTTTGGAGACAATTTTTATCCACGGATTGCAAATATTAATAATTGTAAAAAAAAAAAAAAAACATTGTTTATATCTCGATAATGAGTTGAATAATTCCGGAGGATCATCAAACGCCAACGAGACTGTTTCCGAAATGTTGTAATCTATAATAAACTGTGTACTATAATATTGTAATATGTTTTATCGCTAAAACCGATTTTATACGTTTCTTTTCGTTTTTCTGGAATTTATTATTTTTTAATTCTTTGGGTTTATTGGTATTATTTTTTTTTTCGAGAATTTTCCGCTTAGTTTTTACTATACACACGGTGTCCAATGAAGGTATACGATCATTATGATATCTTGTAAAATATCAACTTTTTTCGGCATTTTTTCCATAAAAAGTAGCCGTTAAATGTTATATATTTTTTAGTCTTTAATTTTGGGTTGAACCGACTACCTTTTGATTTTCAAATGGCATCGTATTTCCATAAATAGACGGAGAGTTATTAGTCCAAATACATTTCGGGGTTACGTTATTGATTTCTATAGACGAAATAATCAAATTTTGAGTTTTGATAGGGGGAGAGCAGCGGAGCATCCTATGGCGGCATAGCGTGCGACATTCGAGCTACCCGTTTTTGAATTGTCAAAAATGAAAAAATACCGAAAAAATTTAATATTTTCCAAGGTATCGCGACGGTCGCATTTTCGCGGTATAACCAGCTAACTCTCCCGACTTCGCGTTCGACTATAATATCACAGCGGTGTGGTGTCCGCGGTTTTATGCTCAAGACGTATGTCGAAGTAGTTATAGGATGAAATCATGTAATAGTAGTTACTCTCTATAAACGAAAACCGTATTATAATATCGAATTGTCAACGCGGAAAAAGCTCAAATTGTTCATCGGTCGGTCGTCTTTGTCAGTTCTTGTCATAAAAAAAGTCGACGAATCAAATACAACGGGATTGTGCAAAGCGCACGTTTGTTTGAGCCGACACGTCATTTACGCGTTTCCAACGATTCGCTTTGATAAGTACCCGTTTTGATACAATCGATCAATCCTATACAGGTGTAATACGATTTGATACCCAATCCGTCTTTTTTTTTTTTATTATTACTATGATCGTTCAAAACGTTCACATTTTGATTCAGATAAAAACAAAAAACGCTTTTTTTACTCGTTAATATTCAATAACATAATCAAACACGAAATATTATTTTCTTTACTTATATATATTATTTACAATACAGTTTTCGATTTTTGTTTGTTCTTTTTCTAAAACCGCAATACGTATACGAGATAGCAAATACTTGTACATGTGCTCGCGTCCGCTATTTATTTTCGATTCAAATGTAGATAAATAGTTAATTGTTTTTACTAAATACATGAGCCGTATTATAATTCGCTTAACTCCCCGTCGCCCTACGAAAAAAAAGAAAAAAGAAACAGAACCCGCCGGATCCGTTAAATTCGATTTTCTAACATTCCGCACACACTTGCCGTTTAGTCCATCGTCTACCGGCAGAAAAAATGACACTGAAGACGACCACACTATTTCGAAGTATTTCGTTTCACTTCGTCCTTGTCCCCGCGAACTGCGAAGCCACGTGATCGGCCATATGTTCCGCGCGTATTCCTAGAGATTTCCACGATCATTTCTTCAGCAGTCTAACGTTCCGCCTGCCTCTCTAATAAAAATAATAATTAAAAAAAAAAAAAAAAAAAAAACAACCATGCTACGCAATAATTCGATATTATAACGTTCTGAAAAATATAATAGGAAAATCATAATACGCGCGACGAGTGAAGATAATATGCGCGTTTTACCGTTGTTGCGTATAGAAATGGCGACATGGAGCGTATGGTTCGAATGGCCGGCCCGTACGTGGAATGGGACGCGCGGATTCTGTTTTCCCAGATCGTCTCGGCCGTCGAGTACCTGCACGGCATGGACGTGGCGCACAGGGACCTGAAACCAGAGAACGTGTTGCTCGACCACCACAACCGAGTGAAAATCGCCGACTTTGGGTTCGCGAAATTTTGCCGGGACCCGTGCACCAAAAACCGAAAACTGTCGTACAGAATTTGCGGTACGCCGACGTACATGCCGCCGGAAGCGCTGTCGTCGAAAGACGGATACAACGCCATGCTTTTCGATATTTGGTCAATGGGTGAGACGCGACATTTTTACTCCACGACCATAATATTATACACAATACATTACCATCGTCGTCCAACTTTATACCGGTTATTTTTTTTCATTTTTGGTTTCCCCGCGTTACGAGGTATAATTGCAAAAAAAAAAAATAAAATAATGCGCCCGCCACCAGATCGTTCCGCTAGTCGGAGCAAGTCTTCTGGTCGACATCGAGTTCGCGAACAAAACTACGACAATTAACTGTTTTCTTTTGGCGTTTTTCTCGAGCGCGCGTGACAAACCTGTTACCCTTACTAACTATTACTGCTCGTGGGGCCATCAGCGGGGTAGTTCTGGAAAAGTAACGTGGTTTCACAAGTTCCGTCTGAATCATTCAATTCGCGGTGATTTTAAACGAAAATCACATCGGTTTCATAAATCTCGTAGTTCCCATACAATCTATTCATGAAGTTTATACCACCTCAAAAATGGAATAATAATTTTGGAGTTCAATTAAAAGTGTCCATTTGTCGATGATAAACAATAATTTTAGTACAAATCTCGTAGATTCCATTCTTTCACTTGATCTCATTCATTCCATTCGTCCACATGTTTCCACACTTTTCCAGAACACCCAGATTTCTCATCGAATTAATCTCAGTTTTCTCTCACACAATTCACTTATCAAAATCATTAAACAAAAAAAAAAAAAAAAAAACAACGTTTATTTCATCAAATCTTCATTCAGTTTCACCGTTATCACTTTTCCAGAACAACCCCCCAGAAGACTAGAGACTACGACGAGACGCACTGCTACGTTACAGGAGGCATTCTGCACTACATGCTGACGGGTCAGGTGCCGTTCGACGGCGGAAACCCCAAGCGAATCCTCAAACAACAAATGATCGGCGATATCTGTGTCTTCCGATCGGTGTACTGGCGAATGGCGTCGGATCCGGCAAAACTGCTTGTACGATGGATGCTCGAACCGGACGTACTCAAACGGGCTCGCTTGTGCGTCATTAAACAATCCAAGTGGATGGTTGGTTGGCAATCGCAATGATGATTATGTGGAAGCAAAGGACACTTGCAGGAAAACGGTTTTATCGATTTTAGATATTTTTATTGTGATTTTTATAAAATATAATCGTTTTTAATTGCAATACCGATGAAGTGCCTACGATCGAAAAATTCGACACAATATTTTAATTCGGGATTGTATTTTAAAATCAAATATATCTGGTTGTACCCCGGGGTGTATTTGGTCTTTAAAACCATTCCGTCTCACAATCAACTATCTATCACTATCCGTTGCCAAAACCGTCCAGTTCGGTACATCGCCTAAAGCTTCCACCGCCTGTTTAACCACATCTCCCCAGCTCATTGTCGGTCGTCTCAATATTATTAAAACAGCGTTTTTCCTATTTGGTTTTCTTCCATCGCTGCTCTTAGAAACGAGCATCACCGCAGTCTTCTTTGGCGTTGAACAAATTCTTGAAAATATAATATTTTACTATCCAAGGCGGTTAACCCTGTGCTTTTTACACCGCTCAGGCTTTGAATAAGAGATTAAATATAGCCTCTCGATACGTTCTCGGTAGTTTCGTGGCTCAAATTCGTACGTCTGCAAAAAACGCAAAGAATACGCCCACCATATCGGCCGACCTGCTGAAATCCCCCGACCAGTATATTATGGTAATTGCGTGCGAAAAACCTGTTTAATAATATTAACATAAAGGAGGCGGCCCTTTAAAAATATATTTAAGATATCGGTCGGTATAAGGCGGCTGTAAAATATTGTTAGAGTTTTCGATCGATATAATTGCGCAGAAAAATTACACCTTTCGCGTGTTCAAACGATGACGTGCTACACGCGGCCGTCATAAAATATAGACCGAACACAATTTTATACAATATACAGTACCAGGTGATGCATTTAAGTGGATACGCTCGATATATCGGAAAGTGTTCATTTTTTCCGGAATTTGTTTTCCAGAAAGTTTAAAAAACAATCTGCTCTAAAATTTTACATTTATGTTATTTTTTATCGCTCTTATATTTGGGGGTGAACCTCCGAAAATACTTACTACTTACTGCACACAACTTACTTTTGATTTTCTAATGGCAACCTATATTAAAAAGTCCATTAATGAATGAAGTATTCGTTAAAATAAATTTTAGTGTTGAAATTTTTAATTTCCGTCAATCCGTTGACGAGATATTCAATACATTTACGTTTGGGTTGGAGGAGAGTTTAGTATAGTGGAATATCATTCACGGGTGTGAAATTGTCCCACCCTTTGTCTAATTTTCTCTAAACTTTCGCCATTATTCCTACTCAAACTTAAAAGTGAAATATCTCGTCAATGGCTTCACAGATATCAAACATTTTTTTTAAGCTTTTTTCATCTGCAAATGCGGCCGATTTCAAATAAAAAAAACCTACTGATCGTATTTAAAGAACATAGTTCTATGTCTGGAGAAGGATAAATTCGTTTAGTACATTTTTCAGTATGCACGAAAAAAATTAAGGGTGGGTTTATATTATTTGTCTAATTAAAAAACATTGCCGTTTTTTCTGATCATTTAAAAGCAGAATTAAAACATCCGAAACCCTTCAAAAAGCCGAAACGTGTATCGGAATTTAATTTCCATCCAGTATACATGTCTCTCTTTTTATTTCTTTGTTTATAATACACTTATATACGTGACATCCGCGTTACCAAGGTAACCAACGTATACCAGCGAAAACAGTTAAACTTTCGTTTTAGAAACCCTGCGTTATAGGGGTTGAATATCGAAAATCCGGTATCGAGGTGCGCACGGGCACGTCCGTCCGATTCAGATAACTGGTAATAAACATTATAAATAATTTAAAACAACGATAGTAAAAAAAAAAAAAAAGAATAAAAGGCGTACGTAGAGAAAGTTATCCTGCGATAATTGTACATACTGAAAGATCTAATTTATTTTTTCAGTCATACGTATTGAAAGCTTTCATCCGCTGCAATAATACTACACGGTCGTCGACCCTTCTTCGTTCGCGCACAAACGAGAGCATGGGACCCTGGTACTCGATGTCGAATTCAAATCGTCGTAATATTTCAAAACGCGTGTCGAACGCAAAACCGTCTGCCGAAAAATCATTTTATCTCGAAACGCCGGCGATTTATCGTTAAACGGTCTACGATAAATATCAATTAACGCGCAGTTATCTTGAAGAAACGTCATATCACGCGATTAACTTAAAAAGTTACGAAGTTACGATAGCAAATTATGTTGTCTACCGGAAATATTGTTCCAATCAAAAAATTACAAGACATCGATTGTGTTCCATTTAATATCTGAGCACTGACAGTGAAAGTTATTTTTCGATATCCAAAATAATTTTCATAATAATCGGGTAAAATCAAAAAAATCGAAAATACGTTTTTTTTTTTTTTTTCAAATTACGACACAACTATTTCATTTATTTAAAATGCTTAAGATTAAATTTTTTCACCGGATAGCTTTGTACAAATTTCAAGAACAGCATATTTTATGAAACGAAGTTTCAACGAGTTTGTGAAGTAAGCAAGTCGTTTGATTTTCCGTATTTAGTTGTCCTTGTATTTACGAAAAACCAGGAAAAACGTATGGAATGCGGAAAACTCTACGGCATTCGGATTTTTTTTTTTTGTTATTCGGCCATGATCATGTTGATTGTCGGTTTTTTTTTTCATCTTATCAGTACTTACTTTAGAAGTTTAAATGGTTTTTAACTGTAATAATTATTATTTTTTTTTTAAAACTTAACTGGACAAAATTACAACATCTTCTCTACACTATAACAAAATACAAAACCACAGTTTTTACGTTGTTCGCTATCAAATAAAAGTAAACAATTTCCTAAAATCAATAAAACAATAATACGTAAGTATATAATATACATTATGCCATAATCGAAATTATAGTTCGTCTTTATGTAGGTATGCGTATAATTTTTACGAGTTTTCCTAGAATCGATGTCCCGAAAACAACCAACACAACTAAAAAAATGATTAACATAATAAAATGGTTTTAAAAAAAAACTTTTAAATTACGTTTAATTTTTTTTTACTACGAAGTATAACTTCGAATATTGTGATTGATTTTAGATTTCGAGCGAAGCATGTGATATGTATTTGTTTTATTACGACGCGCCATTGATTAATTTGTTTTTTATCTGTGAGCAACTTTTTTTCCAGAAATTTTGCTCCGAGCAAAAATTAAAATGAAAATTTTGCTGAATTTTAAACGTAATTGGTCTATTGAAAAAGAAATTAATATTTTTTAAATTTTACAACGGGTTCATGATAATTGGAAAAAACCATAAATGAAGAATGGACAAATTTACGGCGTTAACGATTTCATTGTTTAACATTTTTTTTTTTTCTATTTGGTTTTTCTACCGGAAATTTTGTACGGAAATTTAAGTGTGGCAAGTTTTCTAAAAGAAAATTTTGTTTAATTGATGGAAAGGAGTAAAGTTGATTTTTGATGTTTCATGAGGTTTTTTTAAGTATTGGCGAAAACTGGGAAAAAACGTACGGAAAAATGTACGTAGATATGGTTTCGTTATTTTGTTTTTTTATTGTAACTCGGTTTAAAAGATTCGTGGGGACATGCATTCTCCACAGAAAACGTACATCGATATTTATTAGGTTTGGTAAAATTTTAAAATATGTGTCGATTTTTGAGCCGTTTCTAGACATTTGATGTTTTCCAGTTTTTTTTATGGATAAAACGGTTTGGCCAAACATAAATTCTTGAAAATTTATCACGAGTTTCATTATAAGTGGTTTCTTGTGGTAAAAAAAAAAAATCTTATTTCGTATAACTATAGTGAAATGCATTTATTTCAAAATATATATAACCGAACTTCGCTCAGAATTGTTTTTCGTTTTTCGAACAGTTTATCGTTTCGTAATAAAAATAAAAATAAAATTCTATTTTAAGACGCGCTATATTAAATAACTATAAAATACTACATTATGTATTCTATCTTTACAACTTTCCACGTAAAACAGTGGCACGCCCGTCAATAGTATCGGTTGTTTTTTTTCTTAATCGTCGATCGGTCCCATCGTGTTTTGGAACACGATCGATTTTTAAACATTATGGTGTAATTACGCTGACGAAAACATAAAAAAAAAAAAAAAAAAAAAAAAAAAAAAATAAAA